AGTGCTCCCCGCCCATGGCTCCCTGTGTGCGGGAGCCCTCCTTCTGGGTGCCTACGAGGCAGAAAGCGAGCCAGCCGGAAGACCAGCACTCCCCACCCGTGGCTCCCTGTGCGCAGGAAGCCCGGCTCCCTGTGCGCAGGAAGCCCTCCCTCCGGGCACCTATGAGGCAGAGAGCGAGCCGGTCGGAAGACCGGTGCTCCCCGCCCATGGCTCCCCGTGTGCCAGAGGCCCTCCCTCTGGATGCCTACGAGGCAGGGAGCGAGCCAGAAGACCGGCGCTCCCAGCCCGGGCTCGCTGTGTGTGGGAGGCCCTCCCTCCGGGCACCTACGAGGCAGACAGCAAGCCAATCGGAAGACCGGCACTCCCTGCCCGTGGCTCCCGTGAGTGGGGGCCCTCCTTCTGGGCCCTTATATCCTTTTGATATAAAAAAGTAAACAGGTCAGTAAAAATGAGACGGAAGCAGTAGAAAAGCCAACCCCCAAAAAATCCAGAAATAAGAGGATTCACTGAATTTTACCGTATCTTTACAGAAATAACATCAAAACCCTCCAACTGCTCCATGAAACAGAAAGGGAAGGAACATTTCCAAACTCTCTTTAGCCAAAAGTACTCTGATAGCAAAAATGAGTAGGGACATAATAACAACAACAGTAACAAAAACTATAGACCAGTACTCAATGAATACAGAAGCAAAAATGATAAATAAAATACTGTAAACCAAATTCAATAATACATTAAAAAGTACATCCACCTTGATCAAATAAGTTGGTTTCATTTCAGGAATACAAGGATGGTTCAACATATTAAAATCAATAAACACAGTACATCACATAAACAGAATGAAAGATAAAAACTACATTAACTGATGCAGAAAAAGCTTTCACCCATATTCAATGTCCCTTCACAAAAGCCCTGAAGAAACCTGGTAGAAAAGGCCCACACTTTAAGATACTAAAAAAGAGCAATGTTGGAGGGCTCACAATATCTGAACTCAAAACATGCAACAGAGCCACAGTAACAAAATATCAGGGTACTGTCATAAAAGTGGGCACACACACCAATGGAATAGAATAGAGGACACCAAAATAAACCCACATAGGCACAGCCATCCGGTTCTTGATAAAGGGGGCCAAAAATATTTTGGAGAAAGACAACCTCATTAACAAATGCTTCTGGGTTATCATTATGTAGAAGACGAAAACTAGATTCTCATCTTTTGCTCTGTATAAAAGTTAACTCAGAATGATCAAAGCCCTAAATATAAGCCTTGAAACTTTAATATTTCTGACAAAAAATGGGAAATATTTCAGGATATGGGAACAGGCATGACTTTCTGAATAGTACTCCAACAGCATAAGAAATAATAGCAAGAACTATCAAATGGGACAGTATCAAATCAAAATGCTTATGCACAACAAAAGAAGGAAGAAAATGAAGAGACAGCCTACAAAATGGGGGAATCTTTGCTAGCTGCTCTTCTCACAAAGCACTAATAGAATATGTAATTGACTAAAAAAAAATGTAACTCCAAATGAACAAATCAAAAAAATGGGCAAACTGGACTCATGTCTCTAAAGAAAAGAACTAGAAAAAAAAAATTCTAAAATTCATTTGAAAACACAAGATCCAGGGCAATGAAAGCAATCCTAAGCAAAAAGAGCAATCTTGGAGACATCACAATACCTGATTTCAAATTATACTACAAAACCAAAGTAAAATCAGCATGCTACTGGTATGAAACAGAAACAGACCAATGGAACAGAATAAAGGACACAAAATTCAAAGCCACACAACTACACCTATCTGATTATGGACAAAAGAGCCAAAATACAAATGTAGAACCGAAAGCCTTTTTAACAAATAGTGGTGGGAAAAATAAATATCCATTGTAGAAGACTGAAACTAGAACCCTATGTCTCACTGTATAAAAATAATTCAAAATGGATCAAATACCTAGGTATAACACCTGAAACTCTGAAACTGCTAAAGGAAAGCACAGAAGAAACACTTGAAGCCATAGGCACTTGCAAAGTGTTCCTGAATAGAAATTCAATTGCACAGGAAATAATACCAAAATTGAACAGATAGGACTACATCAAACTAAAAAGTTTTAAAGAGACAGGCCACAGCATGAAGAAAATCCTTGCCAGTTACTCTTCCAACAGAAGACCAATATCTAGAAGAAGAAAATAACTAGAATATATAAAGAACCCAAAAAATTTAACACAAAAATATCAAATAGCCCAATCAATAAATGAGCAAATGAAATGACACTTCTCAAAAGAAGCAGAACTTCTCAAAAGAAGCATTCACTATCTTTAGCCACTAGAGAAATGGAAATAAAAACTACACTGAGATTTCACCTCATCCTACTCAGAATAGCAATCATTAAGAATACAAAAAATAGTAAATGCTGGAAATAATATGGAGAAATAAGGAACCCCTTACCAGTGCTGGCAAATCTATGGCATATGTGTTTATATCACTAAAAGCTCTAAAAGGTTTGTCATCGCATTTACAGAGATTTCTATTACCTTTACTGTGAACATTATGAATTCCTATGGCACAATTCACAACAGACAAGATACTGAATCTTCCTACATGACTATCAATGCCTGAATGGATAAAGGAAATATGGCACGAATATATACATATATATATATTTATATTTCACCCATAAAGAAAAACAAACACCCCACCCTAAATAATCAATTACAAAATGGATAAACAATCTGAAACAACATTTTTCAAAAGAATACAAATGACCAACAGGTATATAAAAAAGCCTTGATTATTACTAATCATCAGGAAAATGTAAATCAAAACCACTGCAAAATAAAAGATAATAAGAAGCAGGGAGATAAATCTTTCTCAAATGGGAAGAAAATAAAGAGATGGAAGGAGGTATAAGGGAAGGAATGAAAAAAGGATTTAAAACGTATTATGTACATGTACCAACTCCATAGGAGGAATGTAAACATTAATACTAGAAATTCTCATTTATTCTTGGTAGGAATGTGTGTACATTAGCATAGCAATTACAGAAAACAGTATGGAGGTTCCTCAAAACCTAGGATCGATTCAGTAATTCCACTCCTGGCTATATCCCAAGGAAAGAAAATCATTACATCGAAAAGGTATCTGCACTCTTGTATTTATTGCAGCACTATTCACAACAGCTAAGGTAACAAGGCAAACAAGATGCCCATCAACACATGATTAGCTAAGAAAATGTGGTATGTACGCTCAATGGAATACTGATCTACCATAAAAGGAATAAAATCCTGTCATTTGTGGCATCATGGATGAGCCCGGAGTATATTATGTAATGTAAAATAAGCCAGACACAGAAAGGTAAGTACTCTCTTATATGTGAAAGATAAAAACGTACGTCTCATACAAGCAGAAAGTGGAATAGTGGTTAGCTGAAGCTGGGAAGATGGAGTAGTGGAAGAAAGAGTATTTCACTGGTACAAAATTTCGGTTAACTAGAAAGAATAAATTCTAGTGTTCTATAGTACAATAGAATGAGTTACTGCATAGTGCAAAGTAGTTACAAGACAGGATTTTACATCTTCTCATGAAAAAGAAATGATAAATGAGAATAAAAAATAATAAAAAAACATTAGAAACGATACAGAGCTTCACTAAGCAAGATGGTAAGAAAATACCAATCATTGTTATATTGTGTATTATTGTATTCAAATTAGCTCTTCAGATTACCAGATATAAGCATGAAAAATTGGTCAAAAAAATTAAAGCATTAACTGTTCTTTTAAATAAACCAATAGACATCTGCAGTAAAATTATCCCAGTTATCCTTGTATATACATATATATTTTTTCCCCTTCTTTCTTTCTTTTCTCTTGCATTCTTACATCTGGTAATCTGAGCAACTTCGTTGAAGATAACAATATGTAATATAACAACCATTGTTAATTTCCTACCATCTTGTTTTGAAATTCTGTATCATTTCTGTTGTTTTTGTGTTTTTTGTCTTTGTTATTATTTTGTTACTGTTTTTCTCTCTTTAAAATTAAAAGAAGGAAATGATAAATGATTGAAGTGACAGGTATACTAATTACCCTGTTTTGATCACTAGACATTATGCATATTTCATCAAAATATCACACTGCACTGTAAGTAAAGAATGTAAAATTATGTGTAAATTAAAAAAATAAAAATTTCTTCGAGAGATCTTAAAAATGAAAAACACACTTTCTAAAATATGATCCCCACCTAGATGAAAAGCCTTAAGACACTAATGAATAAAGAAAATAAATGTCTGGAAAATGAAGTCAGCATTTTGTTTCTAATGAAACAAAAAGAAATAAAGGACTATCTGAGAGTAAAGTTAAAAATAAGATGAACCCAAAAGTAGTAATACTTGTCTTCTACAAAAGGAAAAAGACAGGTACGCCACTATCTGAATAAACAAATTCAAAGCATTCCAAAAATTATAGAAAAATGTCAAAGACTGCCAAACAGTATTTTAAAGCCTACATATATTATATAAAACTTCTGAATATGAAGAGTCTTAAACATTCTTCTGTGAAATTTTTCTGAATTCCAAATCAATCACTCCTTTTTCTGTGCTCCTGGGGCTTTTCACTACCCACCAAATTAATAATACTTATAAATGAAGTACTAGTCTATGTTAAATATCATTTATCAGTTCATATATTTCTCCCAGAATGACTGACTTTATGGAATAAGTCCTTATCTTATTCATTTTAAAATTCTCAGCATCTGTTATAATGTCTACCATAAGGCAGTGATCATTAATAGCCTGCAAAATAAAAAGTTTACAAAACTAAAAGTTTACTTGAAATTCATTTGCCATAAAGGCACAAGCTAAAATTTTCAAAGTTAAAGTGCACTCAATACCTCAGCCGTGTGTTTTTTGCATTACTTAGACTGTTAAATATATTCTGAAAATAATAAAGTACAATTCCTCATTGATTACTATAAGCACTCAAATTTTACAAAAAGATGTTTACCTGTAGTTATGACTGCCACAAAGGCACTGATAAATACAAGCAGAAAGTGAAGCTGCTAAAGTGTGCATTACATATACCTAGAGAGAACAAAAACAAGATTAAGTATAACTTTTTTCAAGATCTAAAATGATCATTATTTTTTAAAGGAAAAAAAACCTTTGCTTGGATAAATTATTTTCTTTTTTAAAAATTATTCACTTCTAACTAGAAAAGGCTTACTATAAAAATTTAAACAACAACCACACACACATACATACACAGTGACTCCTTTAATAGAAATTATAAAATACCTAAATACTATATAATTTCCTTTCCAAGAACAAAAGGGAACAAATGTTAGCTATCCAATAGACCATGATCCATATATTAAAGCATGCCCTCAATGATTTTTTTTCCACAACCACAACAATGATATATGACAGCTCACATACAAATTGGTCACTGACGACAATTCTACTATACTTCCTAATTACCGGGTAAACAATCTGAAAAGAGTGAAACTTTACAGAAAGGAGAAAGGACAAGGTACAAAAGACAATGGAGTCTAATAGCTGTTTTGTGAAACAGAAGATTTTAGGTCTGACAGAGAAATTTAAGCTAAATAAGAAAGTATATTAGACTAGAATATTTTAAGATTCTCTATATTACTTTTTTAGTAAGAGTTTTTTGTATAGATAAAAAGTGAACTATCAGAATCTCATTGCTATTTTCTGCTTCAACTATCAATGAGACATAATATGAATTTTATTAAAGACCACATATGAGAGATTACAAAACTGATCACACTAATCACAGCATTTTGTAGCTTCTCCAACAGAGCTGAAAGTATTTCCTAACTCACTGAATCTGGCTGGCCTTGTGAGGACCCAAATGATGTGTGAGCTCTGAACCTACACTATAGAAGGCCTTGCAAATCACACTCTTGTGGCTCTGAAATCCCTGCAGCCATCATGTGGAAAAACAAAACACAACACAACACAGTAAAATTAGTAGTAATTGGGCCTTAAAGTACAGACATCTGGATAAATATTAGTCTAGGTATGTCTGTGAGGGTGTTTTCACAGGACAAACACTTGAAACAGTAGTGTGATTCAGATTCCCTTGAATGTGGTAGGCATCATCTCATCAACTACAAGACCTTAAGAGGGCTGGTAATATAGCTCAGTGGCACAGTGCCTGCCTGGCAAGCGTGATGCCCTGAGTTTGATTCCCGGTATCAAAAAAAAAGACCTAAAGAGAACAAGGCTAAGAGGGAACTCGTCACACCCACTGCACTGAACTAGGACAATGATACTTTCTGGCTTCATACTCAAAACTTCAGCTCTTCTTGGGTTGTATGCCTATTTACTTCTCAACTGAATTTACAGACTTTCCTGTTTCTCAGGCTTTCAGTCTTGGACTGAATTACATCATCAGCTCTTCTGGGTCTCAGCTTACTCACTGCAGATCTTGAGACTTCTCAGCCTCCATAATCAAATGAACCAATTTCTTATAATAAACTCTCCAGCTCTCACTTTCTCATTCTCACTCTCTCTCTTTCCATACACACGGTCAGCACTGGTTCTGTTTCTCTGATCAACCCAGATAAATACATTTGCTAGGTCTGCCTGCTGGAGGGTGAGACCCATATGATCCAAATTTCCTGATAACTCAGCTAAACACCACAAATGTACATGAGGCCACCCTAGATCATCCAGAATCCAGTCAATCCACCAAGAATGAGTGAATGAGTACAGAGATCAGCTCCACCCAGACCTGATGAGCCAACCCACAAAATCACAAGAGTATGTGATAGCTTTTCAAAGTTCCTAAAGTTTCAGAGTAATTTTTAAACAACAAAAACTTCTTAAGGTAGCAAAAGTTATGTTGTACTATGGAATACAGTTGGGCTTAAATAAGCACAGTCAGAAAGAAACGAAATTTCACATTGTGTAATAAGCTCCATGGGCATTTATAGTACAGAACAGTAAAGGAAAAGAAGGGGGAAAATCAAATTACAAGAGTTAAGGTTATATAAGAGGGTAAAGTTATGGAAGGAGACTCTACTCTCAGGCAAGCAGAAAAATCAAACTGATGTGACATCATAACTTGTGAGGTGGACAAAAACCATACGCTAGACTAGGAGGGAAAAAATCCAAGGGACATTAAAGAATAAACTCAGTCCTACTTCAAAAGATTTCACAGGAAATGCCAATGAAATAAAAAAATGCGCTATCAACAGTAAATAAAGTGGAATGATAATGGGTAAGAAGATGCAATTAACTATAATGACATGAATAGTTACGCATTAGAATCACCTGATGAACTTCTTAAACATATACATATTTCTAGGACTTTCTCACAGACTGACTCACTAAGTGTGGAATTAACTTAGAAGTCTGAGTTTTTAATAAGCACAGCGGGCGATGCCCAGCCTAGAAGAATGACAGGTGTAAAATACTTCACAACGCTATCCTTAAAATACATAATATATGCAACAAAAGAAAATTTTAGTATTTCTATACCAAAATATTAAATTTCTATTTTTGAAAAATACTCCACCAGCTTTTTAGCTATGTACACTAAAGGAATCACTCATATATCTACACACATACCCATTGCTCTTATCTTAATGAAGGCTAAATAACTAGTATTTCATTTTTTTAATTGAAGTATTCTATCAGCTTTAAGTAATACAATAAGATAGGCTTGGTCTACAACCAGAAACTCACTCTCTCTTCACCACAATCAATATAAATTTGGCAATATAACTCTTGCTACATCTACTGTAATGTTTACGTTTGCTTTTTAAAAAGGCTTAACATTTATCTTTCAATTTTGTCAATATATATAGAGGTATATTAAAATTTTGAAACCAAGCACTTACTTTATTGCTTTGGCTGTCAGGATGAGGCGGTGAATCAAAGTTTATTATGGCATGTAGAATATCATGCGTTAGATTACTGAGATGTAATAATGGATTGGCAACTACTGTTTTGGTACTGGCTGTACAAGCAAAGAGGAGAGGCACTGAGGTTTGCTCTGACAGTGGGGTAGGAAATAGTAGTTCTGATGTTTCCTTAAACAGAGGGGGGAAAAGGTTACTGAACTATTTACAGTTTGTAATCTATCATCTAAGTAATACTGTTCTGAAGAACTTCAGAACAATAAATACTAAAAGCATAACAGAAACTTAAGAGAGTTAGAAGGGACCTGAGAAGGTCAACATTCAAGCAATCACATTTAAAAATTATGAGACAATGCCCCCTATAATAAAGAAAAACTTCACCTACATGGGATTCATGTTAAAACTATAGAGTATGAATTAGGCAGATCATAAATAGCCTGATAAAGAATTTTCCTCCAACATGTAACCCTACAAATTCATAAAAGTGAATATTCCTTAAACCAACTATAATGAAAATCAAGTTTTAATATTCAAACAAAAAATTGCAAGTTCAAAATCTGTTTCAGACATGTACTATTTTTGATAATCAGAATGACATACCTGCTGTGATTCTTGTAAAAGCAAAATCAATTCCATTCGTACAGATGCAAGACCCCCACCATGGGAGCCATGAAGTATGCAATAACTAAGAAACATTCTCAAGAGAGACTGATATTTCAAGAGCCATTGTCTTTTTTCCTGAAAGATTTCTCTCTGTTGCTTCACTTTTGTGTGGTGATAGAAATCATCAACATTCTGATTTAATCCAAATTCATCCCCACTTTCTCCAAGTGTGGACTGTACTTCTTCAGCATCTGGGCAAAAGTCACAAGTCCTCTGAAGAGCTATCACCTCTTTTTCAAGCCAGTGGTATAGCTGGTAACGCAACTTGCCACCATCTATTTCATAACCAGTAGATAAAGTACGAAGTTCTACTGTGAGAATCTTTAAACATGCTCTGAACTTTAACTGAACAGCAATTATATCTTCACCTGGATTTAAAATGTCACTTTCATCTAATGTGCTGAAAGAGTCTGTGTAATTACTTACTTCATCTAACTTTTTATCTATTTTTTTTGGTAAAGGTTTTAGTTCTTTCATTGAAATAGGAAGATCCTCATTTTCTTCATCATTATCACTGTCCCATTTTAACTCTAAAGAATCATCTCGTAATACTACACTTGGTTGGCTCCAGTCAAAAGAAAGAGTGGAGTTTGACTGCTTCTCTGAGGAACCCTCCGAAGAAGACTCAAAGCCATTCAGAAAAGACTGTGACCAATCAACAGCAGAAGACTTATCTTCCCTTGTATCCAATTTTAGCGGAGAAGCATCTTTACTTGTATCCATAAAACTAGATGCTCTACGAAGAGGTTTGGTTTTCTTAATGACTTTGGGCAACTTCAACAACACTTCCAAAGCCAACATGGGGCAGCCAGCTTTTAGGTGAGCACTAGCAGTAGTAAAAAATAATCTTCTTTCACTTAAATTAATTGTTCCTGCCAATCCACTTTTTCCTGTTAAACCCACGTGTGTATCAGATGATCCAAAATGACGCCTCAGTAAAAGAGGATGTGTTCTTAGATAATTGTAAAAATTAAAAACTGCAGGATTACAAGTTGACGCCACGACTTGATCTGAAAATAAATTCATTTTATGAGGCAAGAGAAGTTCTTGAAGAGCTATATTGGGTGTATCTTTGTATTACAGTCCATTTTCTCTACAGTGGAATCTTTATCTGCCTGGTCTTTTGACAAAATTGTATTAATAGATCACACTGATGTATTAATTGATCACACTGATGTATTAATTGTATTAATAGATCACACTTGCATATATAGTGATGCATGATATTGAACAGGCCACAAGATATTTGTTATGAAAATGCTCTGACATAATAGGAAAACAAAGGTTATACTGCTTTCCTATTGAAAAAACTTCTTCTGGTAACACTTCTAATTCTTTTTGTCACATCTCTGTAACCTTTTCTTTCCTCTGCTTTGCGAGTCCTCCTCACCCTCTCTACTTTTAATTATGACAGTGTATTAAGGCTTACTTCTTGACCTCTTTTTCCCCCCTCTATGTCCTGAATTGAAGTCATATTATCCAAATGCTTTAAATTGTATATCTCTGTGTGTAGTCTTCCATATCTCTATCTTCAGTCCTAAATTCACTTTGAATTTCTAAATTCTAAGGTCCACAGGTATATATTTTATTTCCATTTAGATGTATACAGTCTTGCCTTTGGATATTTTTATTTAGTGTGCCCTTCACACATACCATTCTTTATCTAAATAACACTGATTAACTAGTTCATTTCAACTAGCCATCATTCCAACTATGCCAAATGGCCATCTTATCACTGAAGAATTCTTGTTTTGTATTTTTTCTTTTTGAGACAGGGTTTCACTATGCAGTTCAGGTTGGCCTTGAACTCACTTTGTAGCTCAGGCTGGTCTCAAACTCACAATGCTCCTCCTCCCTCAGTCTCCCAAGTGCTGGGATTACAGGTGTGCACCAACACACCTGGCCCCACTGAAGAATTCTTGACCCAAGAATTATTGCTCAATCTAACAAGCATATAAATTCAATTTAAGATAAAAGAACTTGCTTTATATCAGTACTTTAAAACTATTTAATTACAAATGTTGATATTCTCAGTAAATTTATTTCATAAAAGGAAAATCCAAAGGTTTTCCTATTTTCAAAGGTGTTATGATTCTGAAAACAATAAGCAAGATTGAATACAAATCACTTTGTCTCCCACTACACCATAAATTCAATTTGTTTTATATTACTCTTAGCACCCACCAGTGGTTTGCACACCTACAAAATACTAGTAACACCCTTAGTCATTAGTGTGTTAGAAGTGCAGCTTACCATCATCTTCTCTCACAGGTTGCTTTATTAATGTTTCCAGAGCACCACTATAATCTTCCAAAATCCAATACGCCATACTCCGAAGAAAAGGATCATAATGTGTATTTATGCTCAATGAACTGGGTTCACTGACAGGAGAATCAATTCCCAGAACTTTTTTACATAAAATAGATTTGTATGTTGCAGATGTATCAAATTCAGACTCATAGAGTCTTGCTATTACAAGAGCCAACTGAATATCATTCAGCTTCTCAAGGCATACCTTAAAAAAATATTGTTTATAAATAAGCAGAGCCAACTTTCATTTTAGGGTAAATTCAACTCACTAACAACTATAAAAACACAGGCTTAATTTCCAAAATTACCAAAAAGGATAAAAAAACAATATATATTGCTTGCATTAATAAATCTACTTAACAACATTTGTTAATATTTCAAAGTCTACTTGCTAGTACTAAGTATATATTTGTTAATAAACTTAGGCTAATTAAAAAATACCAGATAATTCTTACCAGTGTCAATTCAAGCTATATATTTCATTTTGCTCTTGAACCTTTAGTTTTCTCTACCCACCCAGCAGATTACAATTCCCAAATAAAAGACTGTTCTGAATTAATTATATGAGACTCTGAGCAAAAGGGCAATTAAAGATAGAAATGCTACATCTTAAATGTTGACAATTTTTCAAGTTTCTTGAGAAACAGCAAAGAATTTTGTAAGGTTTATCAACTAAGACAGACATAAACACAATTCAAATTATGTCTAAATTGACCGAACAGGCCTTTTCATTTTTCTAACTGTTCATGAATATTTTTAAGGCTAAAATGTACTTAACAGCCTACCAACCAAGTAAGCATCCTGGTTTATCTTAATTTTGTTACAAAATCACTCAAGCTAAATGACAAAAACTTTAAAGCCATTATTAAATATTATTAGTTACTTTAGATTTTTAATCTGTGTTATTTCTACTGAAGTTGAAATTTATAAATTAAAAATGTAAGATGTACACTGAGATTAATTAGAAAGATGATCATGCTATTTTTTCAAAAAGTTTCATTACCTCAATTGCATCTCTGAGGCAACCAGCTAAAAGAAAGAATGCTGCAGAATGTTCAAATCTTTGTTTGCCTAGCAAAGAGAAAGCATTCTTTAAAGCTGCTTTACGCCATCTCTCCTCCTCAAAATTGTGTCCAAAAAATTGTGTCATTCTGGTGTCTTTTTGAGATCTACAAAAGAAAGTATGAGAATTTTGGAATGCAATATTTCTGTACTAGAATTAATCTTCTAAAGTTAGGACTTAGTTGGGAATAAATAGAAACATTTGCTAATTCAAAATTACTCCATCTCTTTATCTAGTAAAAAAATTAATAAACATTTACTTTTCCATTAAATCTAAGATTACTTAACAATTTTCTTTCAAATTACAAAAAAACTGCATGAGCAACACTCTGTAAAATTCTTTAAATTTATGCAAAATAATATAATTATAATATTAATGTGAAATAACTTATATTACCTTCTATGCTCCTTTACTATTTAAACATCACCAATAATCTTTCTTTCCTAACCAGCTAGGAATGACTTTGGCAATCAAAATCTAAGAACTCTGCCTTTATTGAAAACAATCCTGAAAGAACTACTCTGTTAGAAAACTGATTTGATACTAAGATTTTCTCCCAAAGGCAGCTATTCATGCAGAGTACCTAGAACTAAAATCAACATAAATGATGAACTACTTATGGTAATTATGTTCACCAAATCCTGAGAGAGAGAGAGAGAGAGAGAGAGAGAGAGAGAGAGAGACAGACAGACAGACAGACAGACAGACAGACAGACAGACAGAAAAGTTCTATGTGAATTCAGCTCAGGAATGAGGTAAGTGCCCAATGGGTGGACATTTTTGACAGCTAAGCCTGGCATAAAAGCTCTCAATATTGCTGAGGGTAGACATTTGACCTAGATACCATCAATTCATCTTCTTCCCCATTCCAAATACAAATTTCTAATGCAGTGATCTTTGTACTACGGGGGCATTTTGATAAGCTGTTAAAGTAAGCAAAAATACATTTCTGGACTGATAAACCCCAAAACAAACTAAAATGACCTCTTTAAGTTTTTCCCATAGTGAAAAACACCTAAGCTTTTCCCCATAAGAATTCATATGAATTAACATCAATACGAACAAATCTTATTTTATGCATCTACTAATGAAAAGTTTTTAACTTTGAAGCACACGTTATTTACTTACCTATATAATCCCCAAATCACAGCTTTCTTTTTCATTGCAAGGTAAAATATGGCAGCATCCAATGGATCATTCTTTCTATAAAAGGCTGCTTTGGCTACCTATAATTAGAATATATAGCAAATTTTCACAAAAATGGTTTGTAAGAAAACAAGCAATTTCCCTCCTATACAAGACACGTATTTTCTATTTAAATGTTAAATAGATTTTTTAAAAAAAGATATGCATATGAACACATGTATATACAAATAATAAAAGAAATTCATGATAGTGGTGGATACAGACTTTTAAGTAACAGGTCTACAGCTTTTTATGACAAGCTCTTCTGTACTATTCTTTTCTTTTTAACATACATGTATCTTTTTGTAAAAATCAGAAAAATACTATTAAACAAATCTGTTGATCACAAGGTTAGGAATTATATAAATTTTTAAAAATTACATTAATGTATTTTGAAATATCCTGTGAAAGTTATTCAAAATAAAAAGGAATAATTAATGGCAGAGGAGCTACAGAAGGCCATTCAAACATCCAAAATACATCAGTCCATTTTTTACACCAAACCATATACACTTACCTTTTCTATGCATTTGCGTAAGATGCGGATATTCCTGACCCACCACCCCACACCCATAGCTTTTAGTTCAGACCAAGTGGGATCATCTTTCTGCATTGCTGGCAACATATTCAGCAGTTCTTCCTCTGCTACTGAGTGAAATGCCCAAGCAAAATGACTAGTAGACAGGCCTGAGGAAATGTCAAAAATAATGATTATAAGACATATAAATATGATCATATGATTATCATAAAAGTGTGGCACATATTTATAATAAAAACATGTAAACTTTTATAAGACTTGCAGTTACACTTCATTTTTAACGAAGGGACTGATAGGAACTATGGGTTATTTTTATTCTTGGCTCTCCAAACAATTCACCACTCCAGTACACATGTATCTTACATAATTTATATAATTAATTTTTTTATACATTTATTTCAAAAGACATGTAAAAGTCTTTATGGAAAATGCTATAATGCTGCAGTATTTTTCTTCACTAGACACATTATAACCAATGACTTTTCAAAAAATGAGAAACACCTGAAGCAGTGTTCTATATTGGTATGCTTTCTCTGCAAAGCTGCTTCTCATTTTCTTTCAGTCAACATTGGTTTTATGGATTTAATTATATAGAATTAAAAAACATCAAGTAAACAATATAGCTTTTGGAACTAATAAGCATAGCATTGCAAATATTCCAGAACCAGAATGCAATAGACAAATTTCAGTTCTACCACAAACTATATAAACTTGGGCAAGTTTCTTAATACCTCAGTTTATTCATTTACAATATGAATGATGATAGAACTATCAAATTATATAGTTTACAGGATCAAATGATATAATACAGTTAAAGAATTTAGACTATAACCTGGCCTATAACTACTAATACACCATAAAATATTAATAAGATATTTTAATACTTATTTAAGCATCATTTGTATCAGCAATCTACTGGTCTGCACCTCTGGTCTTTATTGATCAGCATCTATTTTATTTCTTCACAGTATACTTTATTTAGTATTACTGAGTATAATAAACAACAAAATGTGGTTTTGACATATATGGCCTCATATTTTTAAGCTACTAAGAAATCATTTTTACTGAATAGATATTAGCACTCCTATGTTCACTATAGCACTATTCACAATAGCCAAGATGCAGAACAAACCAAATGCCCATAAGCAGATGAATGAATGGTTTATATACATAATGGAACACTAACAAGCATTTAAAAAGCAAATTCTGCAATATAACAATATGGATGAACACTGAAGACATTATGCTAAGTGAAATGAACTACACACAGAAGGACATATACTGTAAGACATCATTTGTATGAGGTATCTGAAATAGTATGCACAGAGCTAAAGAACTGAATAATAGTTATCAGGGACTGGGAAAAAAGGGAAATGTAGAGTAACTAATTAGGAGACAAGATTTGTCAAACAAAATGAATAAGCTCTAGAGATCTGCTATACAAAACTGTGCCAAGAGTGAAAAATATTTATCATTCACTTAAAAAATTTTAGGATAGATTTCATATTGTGTTCTTACTACAATTAAATTTTTTTTTCTTTTTTTTTTGCCAGAAGCATTCAGAAAAAAAAACCAGGAATAACAGAAGCAGAGACATAGAAACTAATAAAACAGCCAAAGGGAATGCCAGAAATTCAAATAGAAACTATCAATGCCTTCAACGGACTCATAAGTGGACCCAACATGGCCAAGGAAAAAATAAGCAAACCTATAAATACAGATAGCTCTCAAACAGAAATGGAAAAAATAAAATGAACAAAATCAAACCAGTACATCAAGAACTGTGGCCCAATTACAAAAGGCATAAAATAAATGGTCTACCAGAAGGAGAAAAAAGAAAAAAAAATTTCAAGTAACAATGGTTCAGAACATTTTCAAGTTAATCACAAAACAAGAAAACTCTAAGAATGCTGAACAAGATAAATTAACTGCCCGCCACCAACAAACACACCAATATATGTCACATTCAAATTACAAAAAGCAAGAACATACAGAAAACTTTTAGCCAGAACTAAAAACAAGCAAACACAACAAGAAAAATACCCTTATCCAATTAACAGTAGATTTCTCATTGAAAACAATACAAACTTCTTAAGAGAGCAGAGTGAAATATTTAAAGTGTTGAGAGGAAACCCCCACCAACTAGAATTCTATATTCACCAAAATGATTCTTCAAAGTTGAAGGAAGAGTAAAATCTTTCTCAAACATGAACTGGGGAAATCACTGCTAATAAATCTGCTCTGCAAAACGTTCTTTAAATATTCTCTTCAGATGGAAAAGGACATAGAAATTTTGTTTTACATAAAGAAAATACAGCACTGAAGGAGGAATAAGCGAACAAAATATTTTCATGTTTTTAAATTTTAATTTGATCTAACACGTAAGTTTGCCCAAAATATTGTTAAACTTTTACATGTTAAATCAGTAAAGAATAATTTGATTATGCATTGCTTATGTGTATAATATACATATATACACATGTATCCCTATGTATGCATAGATAAAAGTGAAATTAGTGGTAGCAATGATACCATAGATAAGACAAAGAAGTGAAGATTATTTTGTTATTATAAGGTACTTACACTCCCTGTGAGAAAGTACAATGTTAAAAAGTACAGTGTTACTAAAAGTGGACTTGAAAGTTATATGGAAGTCTTACTTTAAAGCATAAATGTACAATGAAAACTTCAGATCAATACTAGCAAAAGTAACAAAAAAAGATAAGTGATAAAGGGGAAAAATGAAATCATATAAATAATGCTCATTAAAACTATAATGGTAAGCCACGCATTACAGGTAGACACCTGTAATCCTAACTGCTCTGGAGGGAGAAATAGGAGGATCACAAGTTCAAGGCCAACCTGTGCAACTTAGAAAGACCATATGTCAAAATCGAAAGATAAAAAGAGCTGGGATACAGCTTAGTGGTACATTGTCCCTGAGTTCAATCCTCAGTACCACAAAACAAAATAAACATACTCATAAGATAAGACAAAAGTAGGAACAAAGACTGATGACCATAAATAGAATATTCCAAAGTAGCTCATAGAGAAGATTTTGAATTGGGGCAGTTAACACAAAAACAAAGAAATTACTTAGTCCTAGGCTGATAAATATGCCAATTACCCTGATCTGATCACTAAAGATTGCACACATGTACTGCATTAAAAGGCCACACTACAGCCCCAAACTACACATAATATGATGCTTGAATTAAACAATGAAGAAGAAAGAGTGATGCAACAATGAGCCAACAAAACTGCAAGGAATATAGCAGATTCTGTGTGAGTATTCACTTTAAATAGCTGAAGTCTAAATACATCAATTAAAAAACTGAGCTTGTCAAAATGGGACAAAAACCACACCCAGTTGTACGTTGCTGTCTATTAGAAACCTACTTTAAATGTAAGGACACATACAGACTAAAAATAAAGAGAAAATATATCATATTAACAATAATAGAGTACCAGATGAAGATGACTTGAAAGCAAGAAAAGTTATCAGGGATAAAGGAAGGCATCACATAATGATTAAAGGGATTAATTCACCAAGAGGAAAATTCCTAGCTATGTAAAATGGATTAAAGACTTAGACATAAGATCTAAAACCAGAGGCTGGGGATTTAGCTCAGTGGCAAAGCGCCTGCCTTGCAAGCGCAAGGTCATGAGTTCGGTTCCCAGTACCGGAGAAAAACCAAAAAAAAAAAAAAAAAAAAAAAGATCTAAAACCATACAACTGCTAGAAGAAAATACAGGTAAAAAACTCTGTGACAATGATCTGAATATGGCTCCAAAACCACAGGCAATTAAAACAAAAATCAGACAAATGGGAATATATTGAAACTTAAGAGCTTCTACATACCAAAAGACATAAAAAACAGTGCAGTGACAATCAACAGATTAGAAGAAAATATCTGCCATTTATACATCTCATGAGGGTTAATAGCTAAAATACAAAAGGAAAAAAAAAAACAAACCTCAATTTAAAATCAACAAATGACCTGCACAGACATTTATCTAAAGAAAGATAATATGACTGGCCAATAGATAGATTAAAAAAAAGTTGAACATCACTAAATCAAGGAGATGCAAAGTAAAACCATAATGAGAAATCACCTTGTACATGTTAGAATGGCTATTACCAAAATACAAAAAATACCAAGTGTTAGTAAACACATGGAGAAAAGAAAAATGTACAGTATTGCTGAGAATATAAATTATTTCAGGCACAAAGGAAAACTGTACAGACAGAATTAACATATAAGATTCAAGGCAGTATGTTGAAAAGATATCAGCACTCCTATGTTCAATGCAGCATTATTCACAATAACTCAGTTATGGAATCAACCTGTATCAATGGATGAATAGGATAAAGAAAATGTATATATAACAATGAAATACTGATCAGCATTTTTAAAAAAGGAAATTTTATGATGTGTAATAACGTGGATGAATCTAGAGGACATTAGATCAAACAGAAAGACAAAATGCTGCATGATTTCACTTTTATGTGGGATCTAAGACATCAGAACTCACAGGAGCAGAGAATAGAATGGCAGTTAACAGAGGTTGGGGGAGTCAGGGAGGAGGGGAGATACGGCCAAACGATAGCAAGAGAGTAAATTTCAAATGTTTTCATCAAAAAAATAAATATGGAGGGTGATGGATATGCTAACTGGCTTGAATTAACCATTCTACCTTGTATACATATTTTTAAATATCATTTTGTACACCTCATAAGTATACAAAATTGTTAATTTGCAATAAGGATTTTAAAAGAATTTCATTTTGACTTTTAAATTTTACTTTTCAAAAACTAAGTGCAAAATAGAGAAGAAAGGAAGCAGTAAGAGGAAGAAAAGAGAGAAAAAGACACAGAGACCAATGAGTATGGGTCAACCTGCAATCCCAAAAGCAGTGTCTAAACTTAGAGATACAGTAACACTGGAAACCAGTTCTCTCTCTTTTCAAGTTCCTGGGGATTAGAGCCGTAAATATGTTTTAAGTTAATTTAAATGAGATTTCTGTTGTTTTTAACTGTGAGTTCTAACAGTATGTAAGAATATCTTAAATACACTAATTTTATTAAACTAATATCTTACCTTCACACTAATTTTATCAGTTGGAGGGATAGATGAATTTTTATTTTAAAATATTTAAATTTGTGGGTTTTAAAAAAAATATTTAAATTTGAATATGTATTTTTTTACAAAAGTATTAATTTTGTGGAGGAGACCTGAATTTAGATAAATATCAAAAACTACCTAAAGAAGAAATTAGAAACAATACTAATTTACTACTAATATATCATGCTTAAAAGAATACCTAACTGCCAAATATCTATTTCTTCACTAACTCTTTTCATCTGTCATTTAAAATTCCAATGTCAAAGAAGATTAAGAAGAAATAAATATTTTAAAAATAAAGGAAACTATAAATGTTTCAAATTCATCATCACTATCATGGGTGTGCAAAAATTAAGTTTACTTCCCTAGACAGATTACTATCAAAATTACCTTGGTGAAGCAGTTGAGCTCTATAGCCAGGAAGGGAAGTTGTAAGGAAGGTATGCAGTCGAACAGCCAGAAGAAATTTTAACCCACATTCATCAAGAGTTTCCCCACCTAAAACCAAAGGCAAAAAAGTATTCTTATAATTTGTAAAACACCACTTTCTAAATAAAGATTTTTTTATTTGTAAAATACCATTTTCTAAATATAACACAACAAAGTTCTAACAATTAACATATGTCACAGTATCAAATATAGGAACAAAACATTCTTAAACTAACCAAAAAAAAATGCAAAATAGTTTTAACATTCTAAAATAGTTTCTAGTATTTTTTCTATGCATTGTTACATTACAGAAAAAAGTAATATAAGTACTTTAATTGGAAAAGTAAAAAAGCATCTGATCCGAACCTTATCTAAAATTTAACTGAATTTTTAAATACTTAGTCCTTTTTGTGGCATATTTTATAGTTGATTCATAATATATACAGATTCAAATCGTATGTCCACCACAATAATTTGCTGCTAACATTGGGAGAAAATGTTATACAGTAAACAGGGCCTTATTTTTCACTTCAAACAATTAAAAACAAAAATCTATAACACATTCTTATCAAAAATTAATTATCTATTAGTAATCGTCAGTATTTACTAAGAAAATTGTCAACTTTTTCTTAATATACTTTTATCTCAAATTTACTCATTTTCCTTAGTTCATAGGATGCATTCTACTATGGATACACAATTAGGATTATTTTAGTATAATTATCTTTTTCCTTTGGATGTGCTAACTGAATGTTCATTCAATTAACATTCAATTAACATTCAATTAACACATCCAAAGGAAAAAGTTTAGTGTATATACACACACACACACACACACAAAAAAAAAAACAAACTGTATTACTGTTGCCAGCTTTGTCCCTGGAAAGAATGCACTGGCACTGTGTAAGTAAATTTTTCACTTCATATTCATAATAGGGTTGTGTCATTATTTGAAGTTTAACGAGAATTCCCCATTCAAATTTGTTCACAACTCAGGAGACTGCAAAATAATGCTCTCTAGGTGAGGAAAAGATCTAATATTATTGTGCTAATGCTTGTATTTCTTATTCAACATAGGAGTATATACCAATAAATTTTTTAAAAACAGTATTTTTAAAACATAACTTTAATAGCACATTATTACAGCATGAGAAAAACAAGAAACTATCTTATTTTCTGCTGCCTAAATATTTAATAAAACACAGTACAAATGTCTGGCATAATGAGTATGTGCAGTTTCTCACAGTACTATGATTTATGGGATATACACTACTATTGGAGTTAAACCTGCTGTGAAGGTAGCAGTGAGTTTTCAAAATTTCATAGCACCCTTTTTATGAAAAATTAAATTAAATCTTTTCTATAAAAATAAGTAAAACTATTATCAGTTTTTACCTCAATCCTGTACGGAGTTCAGTCTTACCTTGGCTTCTGTCTCTGCTTTCTCCAATATCAGTGCTCGTAGTTGCAATTGTATCTGCCAACGCCATCAAAGACATCTGTTCCATCCGACTGAGCCCTGGTAAACTAGAATGAAGTAAGTGACCAGAAAGAACTTGAGCATGTTCAGGTCCAAAGTAAGTTGGACTGTACTGTGAAAGATCAATAACTTTAGGCTTTGTATTTTCTTCATCTGTCTCTAATACTTCAACATCAGGGATCAGAGTTGAAGTCTGAAAAAGCTCATCATAACTCTCTTTTGACAATAGGTTTGATTTATTTAGAGAACTGTCATTACTGGATTTCTCCAAAGATGAGTAATAGCTATCATCATCTGCTGCAAGTAAGGCATATAAAGGAAGTGGAGGAACGGAATCTATTTCTGTGTAATCTGTATTTTCAGCTTTGTTGAATGCCTGGGGATCCCTGGTAGTGCTTCCACTAGCACTGATGGTGAGAGACCTCAGGCGGCGTTCATGATTGGATTCAGCATCGTTCAAAGCCACAATTTCCCCAGCAATGCACTTGACAAGATGTGACAAGATGGCCTTTGCTCTCCGAACTTTGCCAAGATCCATGAGTTCCAAAAGCTGCAAGGGATGGTACTGAGGTAAAGTTGGGGAAAGTACATGAGCTGCTTCAAAAAGACCTGAATCTTTCATATCCACCAAAGGATCAAATGCAGTTTTCTTTCCACAGATTTTCTGTGCAAGACTAGTCATGGATCGAGTCAGAGTTTTTTTTGGAGGATGTAACCCAGAACTTGATGAGTTACTCTGTTTTATTAAACTTAGTATAGAAGGAGTGCTTCCATTGTATGAATCTGTTGTAACAAGTTCCTGTTTTGAAGGTGGCTGCCATTGGGAATACACATGCATTTCACAATCCATTCCTACCACAAGGATGCCATCCCGGACCCATGATAAAGAAACAGGAAAAGGTGGAGAGCCTTCGACAGAAGAAACCAAGTCCACACTTCGTAATAACACAAACTTAGAATGAGGCACAACTTTAGTACTGTCCCAGAGAGGAAATGCCAGGCTTTCCTTAGTAGTGTCTTCTTGTACCTTGCCAGACAGTGGTCCATACATAAAAAGTTTTGACCCAATTCCTACTGTCAGAATATGAGACCCATCTTCTCTAGACATCCAGTCTAAGTGAACTAAATGTTTTGTGTTGGATGTAATACTTTCTTTGTTAAACAGATATGCCTCTTGTTTATTATAGGCCACTAAATTGCTATCAATACTAATGCCAGAATCCAAAACTGTGCTTAACTCATCTAAATGAATTGTTTGCTCAAGAACCCAACATGAACCTCCTGTAGACTCACATTCAAAAATACTTACATGCATCACAAAGTCCTGAGAAGATCTACTACTAAATGCAGTCTGCTTATAAGCTACAGCTAAACGATTTGTATGTGCACAACTAACTTCTACTGGCCTACCAGGTATGGTTATACTACTATTGCTCTGGAGTCCATCTTCAATAAGCAATGGCCATTCTTCCCAAATGTATGCAAGATCCATTTTTGCACTCTGTGATGTGGTAGATTCTCCACCTGTTACTCTGCATCTCCAAAATCTTACTTTTTCATCAGAGCATGAAGTTGCCAATAAATAAGGAGCACTGCACACAGGATATATGGAAGAAGAACTCAGATGTCCTAAAAGGAAAATAATCCATTCACAAAATGTCGAGTTTGCTTAATTACTTGTTTTTTATTAATGTATTAAAGATTTTAGTCCTTTTGTATTAACTTCTGGTAAGAATACGACAATCTGTATTTAGCTGAAGGATCAACAAGAACTATAAAAGGCTCTTAATGATACCAAAAAGGTATATAAAAAGAAAGTATCAAAAACCTAGCTGAAAGGATGCTCACAAAATTTACTTCAATTCCTGAATTTTATAGATAAAGACCCTTGACCATTATGTACCTTGTACCTAAATCAAACAACTACACTTAGGCAGAATGAAAACCTGAATTCTTATCCTGTTTCTGAAGCCAGTATTCATATCACAATTCTGCTAATTTTATACATTATAAATCTAGTTTTAAAGGTATCAATACATTTTAAATAATTAGTCAATATGCTGTGGCTTCTTTTTCACAGTTTTCAATAAAATGTGAATGGCCCACACTTTCCTAATTTTTAAATAGTCACTGTACAGGGTGCTTCATGATTGAGGTATTGTTAATATAACTGACGCTAAGAATATTCCTAAGTGGAACTTAACATTTGCTCACATTTAAATAATCATGTAATATTAGTTTTCTAAATCAGGGATCACCAAACTTAAAGGGCCAAATAGTAATAGACTATTTTAGGCTTTACCAACTATAGGGTCTCTGTTGCAACTACTCAACTCTACAGAACAAAAGCACCTATATACAATAGTAAACAAAGAAGTAAGACTGTGTTCCATTCAAACATTTACAACTAGTGGGTGATCTATAGTTTGTTGGCTGCTGCCTAAATGATTATATATAAACTATTAATTACAAAATGAACATATTATATAGGACATTTTATCACATTTTAAAAGTAAATTTCACTGTAATTATTATACGTTTCTTTTTTACAGCATTCAAGGAATACAGCAATATTACAAAATGATAAAAGTGATACATCCCACATCTGTCAGGATTAAACTCAACAGAATAAAGCTCTTACCCATTCTAACAATGTTCCCTAAAAAATAAAAAAGAAATAGAAAAACATCTTTCACCATATGCTATACTTTTTGTCAAACAAATTTCTCTTCACTTAGGACTTCTTTCAAAGAACTTAGGCCAAAGTTAAATAGTAAGAGTTATCTTGATAAATGTCTTTGATTTTTCTGTACTTGCTGTATTATTTTGAGTTCAGTAATGAAGACTGTACTGTTCTGGCTAATAATAACAGCTCTTCAAATTCTGTCAATGTAAAACTCATTCTTTTGCAAACTTTAATTTTCCTGACACTGGAAGTTTAAAAATTAAACTATACAAAGAGGCAGAATATAAACATTAGAACAGGATTAATACCCCCAACTCCTATAAACCTCACAATTCTGAAAAGTAAGTACTTGATAACAACACAGGAAACTGAAAAGCAAAGTAACTAATCAAAATAAATGACAAGTAATAAAAAAAAACCACTTTTGATCATGAAAATGAAAGAGTGAGTGATAACAAGATAGATGTACTGGTATTCTCAATACCCTAGAATAGTAGTTCTTGATCTTTCATGCACATGAGAGTCACTTGGAATACTTGTTAGAATGTAGCACCGTTGCCAGGCTCATGCCTGTAATCCCAGTACTCAGGAAGGTCAGGGAGGATTGCCCAAAGTTCAAGGCCATCCTGGGCTACACAGTGAGTTCAAGGACAGCTTGGACTACATATCTACGTCCTGTCTCAAATAAACAAACAAACAAACAAACAAACAAACAAAGCGAGTGCTGCCCTCTACTCTGGACTTACAACAAAAAGCCACACTTTGACAATTACAATGAAAGGACTGAGCAATTTATGAACAGATACAAAAAAATTTCTGTCTTGGTATTCCTGGTATGCAGAGGAGAATCACCTGGAAGGCTTATGAGAGCAGATTACTATTCCAGGGTCAGTGAATCAGTAACTGGGGTATAACCAAGAGTTTTTATTTCAAGAGAGTTTATGGGACATTGACATTACTGATCTGGAAATCACATTCTGAAAACTTGCCTGAAAATAAGGATGATAAATATAGAGCAGGAACCACACATTTATTCTTTTTTAGTATGGTTCCAGGCAACACTACCACTGTTATCAAAGTTGCCAAATAAGGTTCAACCTAGCTACAATTTCTACTCTAGAAACTTTTCCTTTTCCCAGAACTTTTTCTTAAGCAATTAGTATTAAGAATATAGTGCTTGCCTTGGCAGCACTATACTTTTTTTTTTTTTAATTTTAAAAATAAAAGTAGGAAAACATTAACAGACAGACAACATTTTACAAAATAGCAAAAGAACAGTATAGACAATACGGAGTTACAAACAAAGTGGTAGGAAATTAACAATGCTTGTTGTATTACATATTGATATCTTCAAAGTGGTTTCTCATGAAAACAGATAGAGAATTGCAATACTGATCAACCAAGGACTCACTGACAGTTTCTTTCAGCAAAGAAATAGAAGACAGTAGAACAACCATGTTAACTATCCTGTATATACATACATAAAAAATTTCTCTTTTTTTCCCTTCTCTTTTCCCGCATCCCAATTGCCCTTTACCCTTGAGTGCTTTCCTATCATTTCACAATGTCTATCACACCTCCTAGTTTAAATTAACTCTTTCAGGTTTTATACTAGTGAAACAATGCGGTGCTTGCACATGTATGTTTAATGTATTTCACTTATGAGTATGGTCTCTAGTTGTGACCATTTACCTATAAAAGCCTCGAATTTATCTTTCTTTACAGCTGAGAAATTTCCATTATATAAAAGTACCACAATTTTCTCATCCAATCCTCGGTGGATGGACATTTGGGTTGCTTCCACAATTTAGCAATTACAAATTGGGCAGCACATATACTAAAAACAAAGTATTAAGACTAGAGCTGACCCAGAAATATCAGAGTAACCTGAAAGCATAAATCAGAAATTTAAGTCTTCAATTTGGGATAATTCAATATAATTATTTCCATTTCTGCTTCTATATAAATTTATAGGTAGTTCTAACACCTATTTTTAAAATATCTAGTAAGCACTGATAGGTTAAAATTCTCTTTCCGTAAAATTTACAAACCTGCTGATGGCTTAACACTTATTATCTCAACTCCTTCTGGCAAATGCAGCTCTTGGCTATATACCATTTCTGAAAACAGACACAATTTGCTGGTACTCTGAAGATTGGCTCTGCAAGCCTGATACTTCTGTGAAAAAGGAGACAGAATCTTCTCTGGAGAAGAAGAATAATGTTCTTCTGGTTGTCCAGCTGCTTCAGATATTTTGGGATCCATTTTTTCATCTAGAAAACATTAAGAAAATCAAAAACTAAGAAGTGACTCTATAAATATTACAACTACTACATTTTAGAAATCCAAAACTACCTTATAAAAGATGCAATGGCAATGTAGTAATATTCTTTAAAGCAAGAAAATGAATCATTTTGCATTAACTGAATAAAATAATTATTACCACTATATAAGAACAGCTTTAAGAATATGCCCTGAATTCTGCAATCCTATATACTTGTTGATATTAGGCCTACTTAAAAATTACAAAAAATAAATAAATAAAACAAAATAATAATAAGATGACAACTCACCCAGTGATACAGGAATTGATTTTAAATGTAAATTCCACATGTGTAACAGTGAACGATTGTCCTGAGTGCACTCTATTACAACTAAGTAGAACTTTTCTGAAAATCCATTAAGTGAGCTACCTGTTGATATTAGTGATATTTTTGATTGTTAACATGGATAAGTACAACAACTTACTAAATATACCAAGTTAAATAACTGAACTTTTAAAAGAAGGAGTATTTAAAGTTTTTATCTAGGGTTCCAAATGCAAAGTGCTGTTATAGTATGTACTCAACTTTTTTAGCACATAAATTTATAACTTAAAATTTTAACAATGATATGCAACCCATGCTTAGATTTTATTCTTGAACTGACAAATTGAAGAAGTCATAAATTACAGTCATCATAATCAAACTGGTTATGTAGAACAGATCATCCATCTTTAGTGGGAAATTTCTGAACAGAAACTATGTGATATATACTTCAAGTCAATAATGATAACTATCATGTTGCCAAAATCTTTCAAACTAAGTTCTAAATGAAATGACCTATACATGATATAATGACCAAAATGTAATTCTTCATAATCCAACATATTAGTCAAGAAAATTTGTCTTAGTCCACACTACATGGCTTAAAGAGCACCCAAGATGCTAAAAACAAGTAAATGAATCTAAAAATCACTGGTTTATTACTGCCTTTTTACAAAAGATTGCCATCCAAATTTTCATTATAAACTATTCTTCATTATACCAAATTATGTATAAATTATAAATTATGTATAAAAATTATGTACAAATGTACGATATATAAAATGTAAATAGACATTACATTAAAATATATAAATCACAGATTACATAAAAAGCAGAAAGCAACTATTATTAGGGCTTTTTTTGAAGGAAAGTTTTCCTGTTTTAAATTTGCACAGGAAAAATATTTTCAAAGGAACATGAGAAAGATAACTATAACTTGAAAGAATCAATGACTGGGATCTCATCCTATGAAAAGTTTTTGCACATCAAAAGAAATCACCAAAAGAGTGAAAAGAAAATCCACAGAGTGGGAAAAAATTTTTAGCCAACTGTTCCTCAGACAAAGGACTTCTATCTAGAATATATAAAGAACTAAAAAAAAATCAGCCCCCAAAATGCAAAGACCCAATACAAAAATGGGCATCTAAGATGAATATGCTCTTCTCAGATGAAGAAATACAACAAATATTCAATTACATGGCAAATAAATATATGAAAAGCTATTCAACATCATTGGTCATTCAAGAAATGCAAATAAAAACAACACTGAGATTCCATGTCACCCCAGAAAGAATCAACCAATGTCACCCCATCAAGAAATCAACCAATAACAAAAACTGGTGGGGTTGCAGGGGAAAAAGGAACCCTTCTCCACTGTTGGTAGTAGTGTAGACTGGTACAACTACTATGGAAATCAGTGTGAAGATTCCACAAAAAACTAGGATTAGAGGTCCCATTCAACCTAGCTATTCCCTTTCTGGGTATTTTCCCAGAAGAATTAAAACCATCATATCACAGTGATATCTGTGCACCCATGTTTTTAGCAGAACAATTTGTAATAGCTAAATCTTGGAAACAACCCAAAAGTGGGCATTGCTCAACCGAAGAATGGATAAAAAAGTTGTGGCATTTTTATACAATGGAGTACTACTCAGCTACAAAAAAGGATAAACTCAAGGCTTTTATAGGTAAATGGATGCAACTCGAGACCATATTCATAAGTGAAATAAATAAGACTCCTACGTGTAAACATTGTATTGCTTCCTAGTGTAAGAAACCAAAAGAGTAAATAAAATCCAAATGGTACAACAGATATTGTGAAAGGGAAACAAACTGCTCAAAAGGAAAGAACAACTGGGATGGGGAAAAGGAGAAAAAAGGAAGGGAAAACAAACAAACAAACAAAATATATATACAGATATATATATACAAGATTACTAAGACAATTATACGACTAATTTCTATTAATTCATTAAAAAGAACCACTTGTGCTTATATTGTTTAATTTTTCATGCCTCTATCTTGTAATGTGAGCACCTACTTTGGAGATAACAATATGCAATATATTAACCATTGTTAATCTCCTATTATTGTGTTTTGAAATTTCGTATCATTGTTTTTATTATTTTTTTCTCTTAAAAGATGATAACAATAAATGAAAAAATAACTTTGATAATATGGCCTTAATGAATCACGCATTTAAATTATAAGAATTAAGAGGAAGGAAAGGACAAGGAATTACAGTAAAAGAAAAAAGGGCAAATCAGTCCTATTTCTGATCATTTGACTAATAACAACAATGGTCCCATTAATAATAATATCTGAAATATACTTTTCTTCCTCACCATAGAGCCAAACAAGGTAATTACATAACTCCTTGTTTTTTTTTTTCTGGGAAACTTAATAGTTTCTGAGCAAAAGTCATTTGGAATTTTCTCAATATTTTACGAAAAATTAGAAAATTATTAAAAAGAAAAAAATTTTAAAAACAATCCTAGAAAAGGAAATATTAGAAAGATGAACTCAGAAATATTCAACCTGTTATGGTTTGTGTCTGGATGTCCCCCAAAAGCCTAATGCAATCACAGGGTAGGCTTCTACAGTTTATACTTGATTCATGGTCCAATGTTGGGATTATGGGTGTGAGTGCTACACCAGCCCTGGGGCAGATAGTTTGCATACAATGTAAGGGAGCGAAAGAGGCTGCTTGCTGCCACTCCTCCCTTTTTGCTCTTATGTTTTTGCTGTGTTCTGCCACCATGAACTGTTGCCCTCTGCCATGTGCCACTCTGCCTTGGAGCCAGCCGAGTATGGACTGAAACCTCCACAAACTGTGAGCTAAATAAACCTTTCCTTTGTTAATTCTGGGTGTCAGATATTTTGTGTCAGTAATGAGAGAAAAGTAACCAAGACACAACCAAAAGCAAAAAGATTTTCTCTAAAATTTTTAATTTAAAATTTGAATTAACATTAATATTTAATATTTCAATGCAAAAAAACATTTTTACTTATGTAAGTAATCCTCTATACTATAGCTGACATCTTTATTATCCATTTTTAGCATAGTTCTATTGTAGTCAGAATTACAAAAAGCACATGAATGAAATATATATGCACAATTTATGAAATCCCAGAGAAAGTGACAGAAGGCTAAGTGAAAGCAATGATAAGAAATTGGATTCTCAACATAAAAGTAAAAAACTCTAAAGAATACTCAAAAGGGAAGAAAATTTGAAAAGGTAAAAAAAAAAAAAAATTTACAAGAAAAGAACAAAGCTGGAACAAAATAAGATGTAGATAATATTATCTGAGACTTGGTAACTGACATACTGCATAGCTGCTTTATAGTATTTTAGTTTTCAGGAAAGTTAGTTCTGAGTTTGGTTTGAGAATGATAACCAAGAGATTTTAATTCTACTTTATTTCATACAAATTAACAGTTAAAGTTGAGTAGTAGAGCTCAATAAAAAATTTAAACTTTTATTATAAAAGCTTTAAGCTTTTTGGTTTATAAATTAAGGGCTTTATAACTTGGTATTTTAAGCTATTTCTTGAAATGAGTTTTTAAATGGCCAAGGGTCCACGTTATCCAAATCAACAAGGTAGGAACCCACCCATGAAAACAGTGTTTACACACTGATGATAAAACATTTCTGTTGTTTTTCAAAAACATGTAACTGAGGAAACTCTTCAGTATTTTTTGTCTTTTTCCTTGCAAGTAATAAAAATATAGGGATGCAGATATAGTTCAGTGGTAAAGAGTATGCCTAGCATACTAAGGCTCTGAGTTCAATCTCCAGAAATAAAAAAAAAGAAGCAGCAGCAGATCAGCTGCAAGAGGTGGCACATGCTTATAGTGCCAGCTACTTGGGAAGCTGAGACAGGAGAATCACTTGAGCCCAGGGGTAAGAGGCCAGCCCGTACAAAACAGCAACATCCTGTCTCAAAATAAGTAAAGAAAAACACCAATATTTATGATAAATAACATCACAAATCCATATGAACAATTTTAAGTTAGACAATGTGAAAGTTACTGGTTCATTTTTATTAATTTCCTAACATATTCTACATTATAGTTCTCATTACATAAAAAATTCTTTACCTGCATTGGATAAAATATGGTCTTTCCTCAGACTCTTCTTTTCAAGGTTATTCAAAATGAAGTCTTCTTGAAAAACATGAAGCAGCTGAGTTTTTCTGCCATGCTGAATGTAAATAAATACCAACATAAGTTGACATGTGCATTATTTACCTAATGCTAAGTAACAGACAGATACTTACAAGTTTAGTAATGGAATCTAATGCGATAATACATCCTGGTCTTGCTGTTGACTGTTGACTGACGATGTTAAACACTTCACCAACATATTTCTGTTTTAAAAAATTGATATTTCTTTTACTAAGCAACTGAATGCACAGTAATTAAGACCAAGTAACATGAAATTTCAGGCATAACAGATAAACAATTAAGTTGAAGGAAGGGGCTGAATACACCCCTTTTCAACTATAAACATTCCAGTATTTTAATTCAATGGAAATTACATAAAAATGAGTAAGAGTTATAGCTCAGTTGGTACAGAGAAAAAGAAAAGTAATACTCAGCAGCTATTGGAGGGAAAAATACTTACTATCATCCATGAATGTGAAAGACTGAGTTAAATCTCCTCGGTATTCTTTAAGAAGCAGTGAATTTTACGCATTAATTTTGAAATAGGAAAGATGCAGCTAAAGAAATGAGTTGATAAACTGTATGTGCTGATTTCTTGAATCACTCATGGCCTAAGTGATCTAGTCAAGTTTGTACTGTTATAGTTAATGGTCACTTCTCAATCTTCATCAGACTTGCTCTATCAGTAGTATATGAACCTGGTGATTGCTTCCTCCTTAAAATACTTTCTTCCTTTGGCTTCTATTATATACTGCATTCACATTATTTTTAACAGTTCAATGCTCCAGCATTCAAACTTCTTAACATTTCTGTTTTCTAATTACAGTCCCTCTCTCCACAATCTCATCTTCAAACTTTAAATTTATCTGTTAACAACTGCCTATTTTATATCTTCAGGCCACAACTCCTAAACTCTAGAGACAAACTTACTGGGTGTCTTGGATGTTAAACAGGCATCTCAAAATTACCCTGTCCAAACAGCCTCTTGAGTCCACCTAGTCCTCAAAACCTACTAGTCTTACAGTCTTCTTCATTTCAGTCTTGGCAATTCTACTTTATGTAATACTCAGCCATAATCCTTAAGAGCAATCCCCTTTTTTCTCATACATACTCCATATCCAGCCCAAGCATAACTATTCAGTGTTCAAAATACGTCGAGAATTTGGCCAATTCTTATCATCTCTTACTACCACTTGCTACCATTCTAAGTACCTTTGTCTCTCTCCTAGACTATTATGATGGCCTCTTATGTTGGTCTCTCTGGTTCCACTTTCCATTTCTCATCTATGTAGCCTCCAGAGTGACCCAGTAAAAACAGAATTCAGTCAAATTATACCATACTATCATTTTCTTTAATGGTTCCCACATTATTCAGAGTAAAAGCCAAACTTAATACAGGGATCTGTAATGGTTTCTTTGTGTTCCTTTATGCAGTCAACATACAGGGATTTCAAAGTCTTTAAATGGCTATCCCTAGCCAGGTTTGGTGGCGCACACATGGAATACCAGCACTCCAGAGGCTGAGGCAAGAGAATTGTTGTGAGTTTGAGGCCAGCCTTGGCTATAAAATGAGTTCAAGGCCAATCTGAACTGCATAGGGAAACCCTGTTTTAAAAAGACAAAAAACAAAAGCCCCCGAAAAACAACAAAAAAAAATCACACCAAAAACACCCAGTCATCCCTTTTCCTGGACCACTCTTCCCTTACCTTCCTAAATCTCTCACCTCCTTCCAGTGTTTACTCAAATGCAGTTTTCTGTAATGTTCTCCATGACTGTAGCTTACGTGGCACTCCCTACTTCTTTTGTAACACTGCTTCTCTCCACAGCATTTCTTAATATTTTTAACTGTTTTCTCCCCTCATCTCCCATCAATAGACTAAAAGGTCTATGGTGTAAATTTCTGTCTTTTGTTCATATCTAAATTTCTAACAATTATAATAATGCCTGCTAAAAAGAAGTACACATAAAAATGTGTACTTCTACTGCAAAACTTTATGTGTGTTTTGGAAAACTTTGTGTTCCACAAAATCACACATTAAGAATAACTGAGAGAAAAAATAGGATTAAAGCAACTACTGATTCTGTGCAACACTTTAATCTGAGAATTAATAAAAATGTTAATTGATAACTGAGAAGATAGCTGAATCTCCTAAGCAGGACGCTCAAACAGAGCCGAGGGCTGCCTCGGAATACACATAAAAGCCAAAACTGTAGAAACACTTGTTTGCAGGGAGTGCTGAGACAGTGTACAGGGTAGGCTTCTATGAGGCTCTGGAAGAAGTATGTTCCTTGGAAAGCAAAGCCTTTGCAACAGTACTGACAGCAACTCTGCCTGTACACACTGGTTGAGGACTTTTCTTTTTAGGTTTAAGATTCATACTCTGCTCCTGTTACTCCAACCCCGTATATCTAGAAAAAAGAGAGTATAGCCACACTACACTAGCAGCAGTCCTTATTTGTTTTTGAGCCAAGAAGTATCATAGGAACACATAAAAGAGCAGACTTTTTGTTTGATACTAGGGACTGAAACCAGGGCCTCACACATGCTAAGAACATGCTCTACCATGAGCCCTGTCCCCTTCCTATGCTTTACTTTTTGAATAAGTGGAATGGTTTCTTTAGCTTAAAATCACTGTAAAGGTAAAATACAAATATGAAAAAATAAGATACACATGTTTATTACAAATTATAATATCATGATTCTAGAATATGACAAGTAAGCAGATTAAGTACTACATCTAAAAATATCTATTAAATACTTTAACCATTTTAAAAGCCAGTACTTACAGAAATTTCAGGATTTGAAAGCTCATATAAAAGTTTCTTGGCATCAATAACTGCTTCATATAACCTCAGATATTGTCCATCACTAGCTACAAAGCACGCACTAGGAGAGTTGCAGTATGCACCTATAATGTATTTACAAACATTTAAAATATGACCCTGTAGTAATAATGTCAGAAACTGAAATTACTAAAGTAAAAATCAGAACGCTTACCTAGACAGTAACTGGGTATAAGAGTAGGGAGCCATGCCACATTGGAAAATGCAGAAACGTGAAGAGAATTAATCCGGGCAAGCTCAGACACTCCTCCGGAAAAAGACAAGGGCCCAACTGGGTCAACTCTCCAAAGAATAAGCTCACTATAAACGGCATTGGGATCTTGAAATGCCACATCAATGGTGCTTTTATTTTGTTGTGTCAGAGAACATTCTTCAATATTTATGGTATCATGAGGCTTCTTTTGGTTGTCAACATCTGGTGTCCTTAATGCGTTATGGTGTGATGTTGTCAGTAATAATGGTAATACTGAGTGGCAAGCTAAATCGTTAAGATGAAAACGATGACCACAATACCTAGATTTGTGAGAAATACTAAGAACTGTAGAAAAAGCAGATTCCTCAGCAAAACTGACCAGCCACTGATTCAGAGAACCATCAGCATGCTTTGAAATCATCATAACATTAGGAGTAAAAATACTTAATTTTAAACTATTAGATGATTTACTGTGACCAGAGGAGATAAGCATTGATGTAGAACGAGTGAGGCCAGAAGGTTTTTGTTTCCCTTGCTGGAGAGCCAAGTCAACGTTCTTGGTACAGGCATACATCACAATGCTTTTACAGAGGGAGTTTGCATCACCTGTAGGGAAGGCTACAGGAATTCTGGAAACAAAGGACACCTAAAATTAAGAGAGCAAGTATTAGAACATACAAAATGATACAAAGAGATACTACAAAACAGAACCCAGATAGGAAGTAACTCCAGAAATCATAACAATAGTACCTGCACTTGACGAAACATACCAGGCTGGTACTCATCCAGCCAGTCTACATGCCACACTAGTAAAGACCCATCCATGGGATGAATACTGAAAAGCATATCTGCATTTTTACTCCATTCAGACAGAAGCACTTCAATTTGGTGATCAATGGCGGCTGATGGTAATGGTGCAAAACTTGAGTTTGGTACTATTTTATCTCCACCTAAGTCCTTCTTTTCATGATTTACTTTCAGATCATCAACACCATCATCCATTTCTATTAGGAAAAGAATTCATAAACCAAGTAAATACAATCAAGGTATTACCACAAATAATAAACGGCTTTGTAAATGCACTCAACATGAAAAATACAGGCTGGCAATAGTGGTGCTTGCCTATAATCCCAGCACTCAGAAGGTTAAGATAGAAGGATTGCTGTGAGTTCCAGGCCAGCTTGGGCTACACAGTGAGATCCTGTCTCAAAAAACAAAAAACAAGAAAAAAAAAAAAGAAAAATGTAGTTTTCTTGTTAGCAAGAAATAGGCTGCCTTCTAAAAACAACTTCACCCCAGGAATGTAAGATTATTGGGAGTTTAGTTCAGTAATCAGCAAGTCTATAGGACTAGTCAATGTATTATTGGTAGGACTAATACTAAACTGCAACATAGGTAAACTGGCTTCCAAACCCGTGTAACTAAGAGCTACATAGCAAATTCAGAACCCACTTGACGTATACCGTAAGACCTCATCTCAAGAAGTAAAACAGTAAACACATATATACACAAAATTTGATATCAATCTACTAATCCAGGTAAAAATGTATTATGACACTTCTTTAAAAAAAAACCCAATTAGCCCTTATACGTTTCTGTCAACTCTTGTTCAGGAATATAGAGCCTTCTTAAAAAAAGACACTTAAAACAAGTTTTGACTGATTATCAGATTAAAAAGCCAAGTCAAGACATACGAATCTACAAAGAAAAACAACAGAAAAATAAGTCAAAAAGTATAAAAAGCCAGCCAGAAGAGAAATGAAACATGATTCATTCATTCTATTCAATTTGTGTCAAGAAAATACAAAGTAAAACAAGATATGATTTCCCCTTTTCAACTGCCAGGTTACACAAGGAAAAGACTTAAGAGTTGAAAGGATATACAAAAGGAATATTTAAAAAGTTACTGGTGGGAAATTTGTCAGATTTTATTAATATTTAAAACCTATATACTCACTGTTAAGTTCATGTCTAGGTATCTATGGTATCGAAAACATCACACGACAACGACAACACGTGTCATTATACGACTACTTGTATAATGAAAAGGCTATATTAAATAATCTTAAATGTCTATCAGTAGAAGAATTGTTGAAGGTTTCTCTTGGATATGGAATATTAAAGACAGTAAGACGGAAAACTCCCCATTGTTGGATTTAAACAAGTTGTAGGACATTACTTTTATATAAAAATGAATATCTATACTACAACTTTAAACTTTTTTCTGTATACATATGTTCATATGTGCACAGAAAAAAAAGGAATATTGAAGAACACTCACCAAACATAACCATACACAAACTACCCGTCTATATAGCTCTTATTTAACGATAACATAAACTCTTCTAATTAAAACAAGACTTTTAAAAAACAAACTCATTTTTGAACAACGCACTTTAACAGGAATGCTCAACCACACACCACAGCTTAGTATTTCCAAGTCTTTACCACATAGTGGCTATCTAGACAAGGGCTATAGGGCTTTCCGACTATTTCTTGCCAATGCAATGAGGATGAGTCAATTCTGAGTCAAGGATTAGAAACAGTCCTCCCTTCTCCTCCTCTCTCTCTCTCTAGACCGAAGGCAGGCTGAGTGAGATGAGTCTAAGGTCTTAGGTACAATGCTTCTCAACTTCTACATATATATATATACATATCTCACCAAGAAAGTCTATTGTATTGTAGGTTCCCACCGAGCAGATCTGTGTGGAGCCTGCAATTATACATTTCTAACAAGCTCCCAAACACTAATCAACAGAAAGTCATTTAAGAAGATCCTAGAGCCTACACACCCAAAAGGAAAGAGAATCCTGAGTTTTTAAAATCACCACATGGAAGAAATCTACTTGGAACAGGAACATTTATACCAGATTATTAAATAAGCTAATTCATATTTGCATTATGCCACTGTAATTTTAGAGTTCTTTTCTGAAAACAGCTTTACTCTAACATAAAAACTGCTGATATCTGAACAAAACCTCACAACTTTCACATTTTTAAAAGTTTACCTTCATCAGATTTTACATCTGCCTGATTAGAGTCTTCTACACTGGCTTCAGAAGATGGTTGTTCAAAACTTTTTATAAGTTGTTGTATAAAGACTTCCATGGACAAAGTAAAATGCAGCTCTTTATTGTTTAACCAATGTACCACAAAAGGCCCATTCTTTTCTTCATTTTCACTTAAACTCAGAGATGTAATAGACGGAAGAAGTGGAATATCTACAAAGAAAAGATCACAAAATTAACATTTTTACCCTTCTAGCATACTATTTTCATTATTATCTATTATATATCTTTTGTCTGAGAAAGTATTTTTCTACTTTATAATTTTACTAAGTATTTTGAGTTTTTCAATGTTAATTTTTAGAGTAGATTTATTTTATTTTATTTTTTTTTTTTGGTTTTTCTCTGGTACCGGGAACCGAACTCACGACCTTGCGCTTGCCAGGCAGGCGCTTTTGCCGCTGAGCTAAATCCCCAGCCCCTAGAGTAGATTTAAATGTACAGAAAAACTGAAAGGTAAGCAACAATCAAACCTGTGGTTCCATTCATGCACCACCTCCCTCCCCGGTGTCATGCCCCAACCCACACAGTGCCAACGGGATTGCTCCTGTGGAATATGTACTCAGGTGGGGGATAAACAAACATTAATCAAGTAATTATACTAAGGAATGGAAACATAATAAACAGCAGCCCTTAGGTTGGATGTATTAGAACTTGCCTCAAATAGAAGGAACAGGAGAAAGGTATATTTTAATCTTCTCCTTTACTATTTATCACACAGTATTTTCTATTGTGTCAAACAACAGGTACACTGTATGAACAGATAATTCCCAGCATTTACCTTTTCTTTTAAAAAATGGATTTTAAAAAAGTACAACAATCAGCAATGTACTTCTCACAACTGATGAGCCTACACTCATATCACTGCTACCTAGAGTCCAAGGTTTAGCTTATAGTTACATTCTATGGGTTTGGATAAATTTATATTGTATTTATCATTAAACTTCTAAAATATATACTTTATTTTACCTACAAATAAGATTTCCAATAAGATGCTTGCAACTATTATCATTACTGTCGCTGTTATTATTATTATTATTATTAATCTTTTTTAGACAGGGTTTCGCTATGCAGTTCAGGCAGGCCTTGAACTCAATTTGTAGCCCAGGCTTCCTTTGAACTCACAGCAATCCTCCTATCCCAGCCTCCGAGTGCTAGGATTATAGGCATGTGCCACCATGACCATCTTGCATTCTTCTTAACAGTAAGAGATTTAAATGTTAAATTTAATCTACTTATTATAGAGGAGATAAAATTTTATACTCTGGGTCATACAGTGTAACTGAACTATACAATGGTACCTTAGATCACAAAGTTAATTCTTTCTGCAATTCTGGTCACAAAATTTGTGCCACCGTGCAACCAGAATCATGCAGTGAATTTTGCAGCCAGAACCATGGAAAGAAGTCCATGAACTGAGGTACAACTGCACATGTTTTCTTTAGTTCTGCAAAAATTCTCAAGAAAAACCATGCCTATAATCTCAGACATGCTAAAAGGAAGGTCTTCTTAACAAATTTTGATAAAAATAAAAACATATAGTGGAAAATACCATCATCATTAAAGTCAAAGGAACTAGCAGCATATAACCTTTCTACAGCAACAATTTTTTAACTTAACAGACTGCCATATTCACTTCTTTAATGATCTATCCATCTAAAATGAGTTATTGCATATTTATTAGCATCAAGATTAACATTAGAAGGTATGAAACTAAGGTTCCCTTTTTATGCATTTAGTAAGAAATCAAGACAGGCCACAGCTAAAATGAAATTGTTCCTTAGTATTATATTTGATAAAGTTGCCAAATTAAGAATACTGAGGTACATATCTAATCAGTTATTACAAATGATAATCCCTAATTACTACAAGTTAAAAAATTCAACTCCATCATATTAAATCGAATTTCAACTATGTTTATATCTACTAAAGTGTAAAGGCTGGAATAAATTCAAGGAATATAAACAATTACTCCAAACTAAACCTACTCTTTAAAAGAAAAGACAAATATCATAAGTTAATCTGTTCATACAATGTACCTATTGTTAGATACCAATTAAAAGAATACTGTGAGATAAATATTAAAGGAGAAGATAAAAGAATGGCTCTTTCTTTTTCTTTTTGAGAAAGAATCTTGCTATGCAGTTCAGGCTGGCCTTGAAATCACTTAGTAGCCCAGGCTGGCCTTGAACTTGCAGTGATCCTCCTGCCTCGGCCTCCTAAATACTGGGATTACAAGGGTGCACCACCATGCCCAGCCAAGAATCTATTTTTTTTTCCTAAAGAGAAAAAATTAAAATTTTAAAACAAGATAATATGAGGGTAACAACTGTTATCTTTAGTTACCCAGAATACAAGACACAGGCATTTAATTGCCCAAACAATATTAGCACAAACCTTTCTTTTCAGTGAACTAAGAAAAATTAGTAGTATAGCTACCTTACCTATCATGTATATACATAGCTTTCTTTTTTGCTTTTTTCCCATCTCTTCTGTTAGAAGCAAGTTCTAATATATCCAGTCTAAGAGCTGCCATATTTTACCTGTATATTCCTTAGAACAATTATTTGATGAATGTTCATCTGCTATATGATTATATATTTCACAACAGCAAGCTGATATCTGTTTTGTTACTGTACTTCTAGTTCCTACACTGGTATAGATACAACATTTAATAAAAATCTTGAAGAGTTAGACTGCCAATCCTACTGTTCCTGCATAGATACAAAGCAGTGCCAGGGATTGAAAGGATACCTCAAGAAACCATGAGTAAGATTTACGCATATTTGACTTACAATCAACCCAAATGAAATCAGCAATTCCTGTCTACAGCCATACCACCCTGAACGTGCCCAATCTTGTCTGAAATTAGCAATTCCATCAGTAGACCTCAAGTCTGGCTGTTCAGTGTATACCAATGCGAGAATAATTCTGGATTCTGGCAGAAACATTCTAACTAAAAAGACATTAAAAACTCTTTTGTATCCTAACCTCACTGAAAGAATTTGAGAATGCTATTTTTAATTTTATAAATACATGCTAGTATTCATAATGTGTACAATCCTTGTGGCGAGTTTGTGCATGTATATAATACATCTTATTTCTTTTCATTCCCTTTTCCTTCTTTCCCTCCCTCTTTACCTATCTCTTGATCCCTTTCTTCATTTTTCTTTTTTTGTACCTGTTAGTAGTACATAATGTGTACATTCCCTGTGTAGAGATGGTACATGTCCAAAGAAATTTTCATGAAAAGGATATAAGAATTAGAACTTGAAAAAACATGTTCTTATGAGCTCCTCTCCAATGGCTATTCCTACTGATGGACAAGCAAGTGAAACCAAATCTAAGAGCTGCGTTTAAGAAATACATCATCTACAGCCAGGTATGGTGGCCCTCGCCTGAAATCCTGGCACTCATAAGGCTGAGGCAGGAGGATTGCCATAAGTTCAAGTCCTGCTTCAGTACACAGTCAATTCAAGGCCAGTCTGAAATGCACAGTGAGACCCTATCTCAAACACACAAAACACACATACACAGAGACAGACAGACATCTAAAAGCATCATTCCAACAGATCAAATGTAGGAGAAGGAACTCGTCATACAGACCACCCTAGATGCTAGTATTGTTTTGTTTTGATTTGCTCCACATTTTTCTCAGTGACCTATCCTTCAAAGAAGAGGTTTATAGTTTTCCATACAGGCAACTACTCAAGGAGAAGCCACACTGGAACTTAGGATTCCTTTCTCAGTAAACCCTTACTCTTTTCCACTAATTTGGAAGTGAGAATTCAAGTTTTGTTTAGTCTCATAATATTGTGCTCTATTTTTCATTTTTATTTTTTGTGCTGCTGGACATTGAACCCAGTGCCTCACATTTGCACAGCAATTGTTCTAACAATGAGCTACTTCCATTTCAATACTGACCTTACTCAGCAGGAACCTTCAGAATTATTCCCCTGATCTTAGAGGTAGTGTAACCACTGTTGACATATTTCTGATAAAGGTGATGAACTTTCCCAAGCTATGTAATTTTTAATAATGATATTAAGTATTTTTCCAATTACATATTTTGATTCATGAATTCTTATGGAGCTACGGTTGTCGTCAACCAAATAACAGCTACAAAGATAAAAAACACTGTTCACTCTTACCATAAGTACCTCTATACTTCAACTTTGCAGGGCACTTTTCACTTTGATGAATAAAATTTTATTCAAGTAACTACTGGACTAACTGCTATTACTTTGAAGAATGCAATACGGTAATTTCCAGCTGTATGGAAATAGATTATGCTTAACTGAAGCTTAGGAATATTCGACAGGAAGCAAAAACTCATTGACAGTGGTTATCCTCTAGTGAGAAGGATTAAGGTAGGAGAGAGGTAAACTAGAGAATGAATAAACAGAAGCTCTTGGATTGGACGTATTAGCACTTGCTTCTAATAAAAAGGAAACGAGGAAGACTTTTTTCTTTTATGATTTAACTCCTATGGTAGCCTTTCTACAGGTGTCTACCAACAGACACATTGCATGAACTTTGACTTCTAGCCCATATTAATTCCTTTCACTTCTTTACACATAGCACTTATCATGTGTGAATATTTTTAAAATTTTTCTCAAATATTACAAGGTTCTATTTTCATTGCTTCAGTTGTGATCTCTGGGTTTTATATTCACAGAAAATATTTACCAAAGTGATAAAGATTTCAATCAAATTCACAGATATTTAGAATGTTCAGTATGTCTACAATATCTGATTACAGAAATAAAGTTTCTTAATTCTTCTAGTTACGACTTTTATGTGTTTCTTATCTCTTTATAAAATGATTCCAAAGATCAAGTGTCAAGCCCTGACATTATATTAACAACTATGAAACAATCATAAGATACTTCTGTAGTATCTTAATGGGTAATAGCTTAAATTTTAATTTTCAAATAAACTAGCAAGTCTCAATGACTTATCAATATCTTATGCATAAACCAAATTATAGCCCTGAAAAGCAAAAAACAACCAAAACCATAACAACAAAAAATGGAATCAAGTGAATTGGATGCAATAAAAACTGGCAAAATCACCTCCAATATTTGACATACTCAGAAACTAAAAGTATATCTTATTTGTTATAAAATTAACATACTCAATTTCAACAGTATGTTTTGAGGATCCTTTATTACCTGTGGCTGGGTTAATGCTGGCTGCAATGTGAAAGTGGCAGAGTGCATTGGCATGCAGTGGAGTGTTCCTGTGAACGTGATGAGGGTCCTGCTGATGAGGAAGGTAGCCCGTATGTGCAACAAGTGCCAGTGATCTCCTCCGACCGCTACGAAAATGTCTGAGGTTTACCTGTGTGGATGAAAACAAAGTAAAACTAATGCCTACACTGTTAAAAGTCACATGTGTGTTGTCTACATAATGACTGCTGTTAGTTGCACATACGTAAAAATGACTTCCAATACTTTTGTATTGGGAATTTAAATTCTGAAGAATAAAGTTAGAATTTAAAGTGTCTCGGCTCCTCTCTTTTTTTTTTTTTTTTTTTTTTTCTGGTACCGGGAATCAAACTCATGACCTTGCCAGGCATGCGCTGTGCCGCTGAGCTAAATCCCCAGCTCCCCCGGCTCCTCTCTTAAACTTCACACAAAATTTCACAATTTTTATCTGGTTTACTTTCTTAAAATTAATATCCTAAAATCAGTATCTTAAAATTAATAATATTAAATATTTTAAATTTAATATTCTTAAAATTAATATTATCTCCTTAACATAAATATCCTGAATATGTTCTTAAATTAATAATCAAATGTTTACATTTTTTCTAATTGTTATGGTTTATATATAGATGTCCCCCCAAAGCCTCATGTGCTCACAGACAGATATTTTGGGAGCAACTACATCATGGGTATGTGATACTAGATTAGTCTACTGATTGGTTTAGGACAGTTCTGAGCATAGGAGATGGACTTAATCTCCTATGGGTGTGGGTGGCACCAACCAATAGACTCATAGCCTGGGTGGAATAAAAAGGGAAAGGAGGAGGAAGTCTTGCTGCCTCCTCCCTGATGTCCTCTGCCATGCTGTCTCAGCCAACTTTAGACTGAAACGTCTATAAACTGAGTTAAAATAAACCTTTCCAACTTTTAACTTGTGGGTGTTGGGTATTTTGTCCCAGTAATGCAAGTAAAAAGTAAGACAAGACACAAAGACACTAATAATGTATGTGTAAATAACAATGTCTTTATGTATATTGTTCTCTTTGTATGTATACTGTTCTCTTTGTTCATGGTTGATTCCCTGTTATCACAAAGCATTTAATAATACTGGCACAATATATTAGGATATTTCATGATTTACAGATTATTTTCACAGAGATCATCTCATTTGCTCCCACGAGGCAGATGAAGAAAATATTATTCTCATCTTTCATATGATAAAATAGTTTATATGGAACTCAAGGTCACCTCGTTAATAAGAGGCAGAGCTAAAAGTGGAACAATTCTTTGAACATAAAAAAAGAAAAACAAAAAACAATTCTTTAGATTCCTAGTCTAGGATTTCTTCCAGCTATTAGTACACATAACTATTCTGTTATTAAATATACAATGTAATATACATTTAATTATATTCTGAGCCACTAGGATACTACTTGAATGTGAAAAATAGTTGCATAATCAGACAAAGGATTCAAAGAGAAATAATTTTTAAATCACCGCTTTGAATATTAAGAAAATAATGAGTAACATTACTATGTTATCTCCAATTAGTCCAAATGTCAGAACTTTAACACTAACTAATAAAAGAAAGACTCTCAGTTCTGGTGGGTCTGAAGATAACTACTGATATAATAGACTATGAAAAACTAGTCTATCTACATGAAAAATTAGCTCTACAAAAATTATTTATACAGTCCAATCTTTGCATTCTCAGATTTTAATTTTCTTTGTTTCTTCAGTTAAATGTAATTATCCTTTCAGTATTATCAGTTAAGCTAAGATTAACTTCATATGCTCCAAACAAAATCCTTAAGTACATTTTTGAACAAAATAAAATTTAAAAACTTGAAAACTGTTTTCCTAAGACAGATTTCTTATAATATTACTATGTTACCTACCTCTAGAGCATTTTGAACACGTTCTTTACTAGAAGCATTTCTCTTTAAGTTATCTGTTAAACTAATTTGTTCAGGCCAATGGTTGCAGTCACCTCCATATAGCAGAAAGTCATTTGGTAAAAATGTCTCTACCCAAAGACGACATACATTATCTTTGCAACAAGTCAATAGTACATTACATACAGAAGCCCTAAGAAATAAAGAGATTTTAGAAGAATACAAATTTTACACACTATCACAGACATTCTAGAATGTTTATAAATATTTAAATGCACACAACTAACGTAACAATGAAGGAAACGTCATTATATCGAAATAGCATCATAGTAAATGCTTGCCAACTTATTTTTCCACCCAGAAACAAAAGCTCTTGTTTCAATAACCTAAGATTCTTCTTGTATCTAAAGAAAAAAAAAAAAAAAAAAAAAAGGCTAGGATCAAGCCATAATTCCTTAGTTGACAAGAAAGAAACTACATCTAATAAAATTTCCTTATTGAGTAGATGGCTACTGTTTGAATTATTTTTTTTATGTTAAAGAGAAAAAAATAATAACAATAATGACAAAAACAAAACACAAAAACAATAAAAAGATACAGGATTTCAATCTCACATTCTTATATCTGGTCATCTGTTTGAATTATTTCATAGTGCTTCATTTCTATATTCAGTAAAGATACCTACACCCTGCTAAACCAAAAGCTACAATGATCATTTAGGACACTTATTTTCTCCCTGCCTACCTCTGCCCAAATCACTGAAGTGCAAGCAAATTTATGATAAAACCAGCACAAATTAGTTCCTTCCTTTAGCCACCTTTGATTCTCAGTTCATGTATTTCTTGTATACTTCTCAAAATGAAAGTAAAAATCAATTATGTGTATTAATAAACCAATAAGCATGAATAGCTCAAAGGCTGAAACCCTTAATAACAAAAATTACCTTCTATTACATAACTTAGAAAGCTTAGAGAAAAGTCACAGCATCTTGTAGTTGGCACTTGTTAAAAATATCTGATTAAAAATGAATATAATCAGCAAAAAGCTTTATGAGGTAACTCAATGAGTTAAAGCCAAAAGGAATTCTTTGTTGGAGATGTAGCTTACTGGGAGACCACTTGCCTAGCAAATGTAAGGCCTGGGTTTGACCCGCCCCCACCAAAAAAAAAGCCAAGACACAAAATCAAATATTGTATATTTGTTATTTTGTAAAACATAGCTCTCCAGTAATAATAAAACAGCTGTGCATGGAGACACAGGGCTGTAATTCTAGGATTCTTAAAGGCTGAGGCTGGAGGACTGGAAGTTTGAACTCAACCTGGGCAACTTAACAAGACTTGTCTCAAAACAAATAAAAGAGGTCCTGGGTCTAATGTTAGAAACAAGAAGCAGCAGAATAGGGCACAGCATGACTGTCTGGCTGCTCTGCCTGCACTCATTCTCTCATCTCTACCCCTGCCCTCTCTCCCATCTTTCTGTCTGTTCCCACTGCCTTTCTCCTATTTCCACCCTTTCTCTGGACATCATCATTCTGCGCTCTCAGACTCTCCAGCTCAGCTTCCATTTCTACTTCCTTCCTCTTGTCCCTCATCTCTCCCTCCACAGCACACCCTCTTCTTTCCTTCTAAAACCCTTTCTCCATTCCTCCCCATTCTCAGACCCATCCCTCCCTATTCTTTTCTCTTGTGCTATATGAGGCTCCCTTCCTCTTACATGTATGCATTTATACATAGGCTATGGCAGTGAAATTAAAAGCAAACATATAGGAACAGAAGAAAATACATCAATGGCAATACAAAAGTTCAAAGTTCACGCTGTCAAAGGGTAACTGGAAGGATGGAAAGGTTTATAAGAGAACACTAACAGGGAGTGACTAAAAGGCTGAAGAGACAGCAAACTGAAAGAGGCATAAACTTTAGAAAAGCACAAAGCAGGTGAGCAAGGTCACAACTAAGAAGCATGGAGAGCGCTATGACTCTGAAGTGTAGGTGGACACAAGTGACTCTCCTTAAGCTATCTTACATTTAATGTAAACGCCTGGTAACTTACAAAGGACTTAGATGTACTACTCTGATCAGTCTGAGGCAATACTCTGTCAGTATCTCCCTTCCTCTTATCTTCCCTTCAATAGCATGTCATAATGATGTATAGCTCTCTCCTTCAAAAGAAACCACAACAGGTATAACATAGAAAGTAACTACTGTTTATGATGGATAAGGGTCTCAAATCTTGTCCCATCTTGATTAACAGGCTAAGAAAAGCTTAGTAAGTAGCTGGTTTTTAAATGATATAAATCCAAAAATAAACTTCTGGGGAGCTCAAGATTTCATAAGTGGGCCAGGGGTATAGCTTTTATTGGTAGCATGCTCACTATACCTCACTACCTATATTAGTAGTGCTTGGCATAAGTGAGGCCCTGGATTCAATCTCCAGCACCACAAAAAGAAAAGAAAAATGCTAGTTCTACACATCACAGTTCTACATGCTGCAGAATTTACAGACATAAAATGAGCATGGCAAGGAGGAGGACAAGAGGGAAGATGAGGTGGAGGTGAAAGATGAGGAGAAAGAGGAAAAGGAGGAGAGAAGGAAGAAGAGGGGAGGAAGAAGGAAGCAGCAAGGGAGGGGGAAGAGAAAAACATTAGATGCACTTTTACTTTCAATGCCTACTATAAAATGCTATTAGTCGGCACCCCTAAAGGCCTAGTTCAAGGCATCTGCCTCTGCCTTCACTCTGACATTTTTTGCCATCATTGAGTGAGCTAAGTCATTGTGCCTCTCAAAAAATGTAATGCTTCATAGTCTCTGTTTTAGTATTTGCGTAGTCAGAGCATCGGTCATTGCAAACACTTGGCTGTATTGGAAGAAAGTAGCCTCTGAAATGATGCAATCCTCAGGTTTAAAAGGCTTACAATTTGTAATGACAGCTGGAGTCATTCACATATTTTAAAACAACAGTAAACAAATGCCATGGGCTCATTACATTCTAAACACATTTTTAGACATGTAGGCAGTGTCTCAGGGCTAACTACAGCAAGAGTAGGTAAGATTCGTTAAGATTGCTAATAATTATAGATTGTCTAGGCCGTCCTCTTTAGCTTGATGACTAAGAGCAGAACCATTACTCTTCCTACAGTGTCCCTCCTACACCTATACTTTTTTAAGACCAGAGGACTGGCATAGGATCTGTAGCTTATATGTCTAAGTATAATCCCTTGGTCAGGAAGAACAAAAGTAAAATCAACAAATTATTTATGTACACTACCCCAGACCACATTAGGATGTTTTAAGTAATAACATTCATGGAATAGTGAAACAATAAGGGAAAAACTTATACAGTAGAGCCAAACTGACAACTGCCATGTGGCACAAAAAGTGATTTCTAACTATACTTAAGTGATCGGTCTCCACAATTAACAAAAGTATAGGCAAAAATTCAGTGGGATATCAAGTCTTTCAAGACTATAGGAAAGAAAGCAAGTACTATCAAGTCTATATGTGTGTGTCTGTATGGATTAAACTAATATCTAATTCACAGTAGGGATAGTCTGAGGTGTCATTACACTTTACTTTCCTCAAAGATGCTCAACACAGTCATATAAATGCTTGAGGACTCTCCTACCATCTTGATAAAGCTCTTTTAAAAAGGAAACCAGTGAGACAATACTAGAAGGTATAAAATGAGGAAGTAAACTGTGAAAAAGTCCACACAAATAGCAATCTGTAGAATAAGAGACAAAAGATTAGACACAAGAGAGTAGAAAAATCACATACAACTTTGTGACTTAAAGACATCCGACATGGAGGCAAATTATCTGAGCTCAAACTCCCTTCCTGTCTCTCATACTGAGCATCAATCACACTCCATCTTCAGAGAGATGTCAAGCCAGGGACTCACTAATAGTACCATAATCTTTATAGGATCAGAAGTCCTATAGCATAGCTATGGTCTTAAAAGTTAGAAAAGCAGTCAAGTCATATTAATGATATCCTCTTAACACATGAGAAAAAACAACCAATCCACTGACCTAGGCATGTATTTGCTTGTTTTACGCCAGGAAAATCCATTTACAGCTCGAGGGTGGGCCAAATATACAAAAGAAAAGTCAATTTCTCCTTGGGACTGTTTGTCTGAACTTGCATCAGGAGAGGCAACGGCTGTCCGCCAGTTTTCTACATTATACCATACTTTTAAAAGACAGTCATCCTGAAGAAAAAAAATAGAAAAATACAGAACCAAATTAAACTGAAAGCTAATTTAAACAGTCAAACTAAGATTTTACTCTCAACTGGCATGATCTTGGGAAACAGCAGGAAGAGTTAGCCACAGAAAATGAGAAAATCTCTGATTCTCACATTTTTCAGTCAGCATTCCTTAGCTGTACTTTTGAGACTTGAAGCATGTGAATGTTTATATTGTATGTAAAGAAAATGTTACTAATTACCATATACTATAGGGAATGGAGTAATTCAGCTAAGACTGAAAGATGAAATTAAGGGCTCTCCTCCATAAAACCAAATATCAAACAAGAAAGCAATACCACCAGCAAAAATACACAGTATCACTTACTGAACAGAAAGACACATGTATTTCATGGATTACCATATAACTTTTCAAAGAAAATGTTAACAATGATAACTAGTAAGTAACTAATATCACAGGAAGTACTCTATACATAACCAAATTTGTACTTCATTTGGGAAATAAGGGAAGAGCAAGGGAGACTAGAATGTAGTGAGTGCTGTTTTTAATATAAAACTAAATTTCTACTGTAAAATCAAATAAAGTTTCATTTCTCTCCTTAAAAAAAAAAAGATACCTCAATGGCTTTAGAATATCTCACATTCAGTTTGAGGAAGTGTCTAAGCCATGAAAACAATAATCTCAAACTACTGCATACAAGGCACTGTGCTAGTCACCTTATATACATTCTCTAAATTAATCCTATGATTAATAACTTAAGTAGATGTTGTTGTTCTCATTCTACACACAAAAAAAGAAAAGCTCAAAAAGATTAAGTTTCTTAAGATGAAAAAGCTGGTAAACTGTAGATTTATGTAGACTTATGTAAGTCTAAAGTATTTCAATCATACCATACTGTCTTCTAAGATCATTATACCCTATTTTTTGCAACTTAATATTTTAATAGAAAATAAGATTTTCAAGATAAATAAAAAAATGCCAGCTAATGTCCATAAAGTCAAAAGGTCAAAATAAAGTGTGATTACACAATTTGACAATAGCATGTCCACAATTTACCTTTCCAGCAGTGGCAAAAAATTCTCCATCTGGTGAAAATTTCATCAAATGAACTTGGGAAGCAGTTCTGTAAATTAGAGAGGTAAGATATAATTTGCAAAAAAAAAAAACCACAAAAAACAAAAAACAAAGAAAAAAATAAAATATTCTCAAAATCATACTCTATCAAATGTTTCAGATAGAAAAATTTTTAACAATATACATTCCCACAATTCACTAATTACAGTGCTTCCATGTTAAGCTACCTCCTTGGTCTTTTTTTTCCCCTTTTTTTCTTTCCTTTGCTCTTTTCTCTGTCTCCATCTCTGTCTTCCCTTCTCTTCCTTGCCTTTTCCTCCCCTTCCCTTCTAATATTCTGTTATACTTGTTTACTGGCTTATTATTGGTCTCTCCCTGTCTACTCAATATAATATTGCAAGCATTTTCATAGTAACCTGGCATATGATAAGCACTCAATAAATATCTGCTAAATGAACAACCAGGAATTGTTATCTAAAGGATATGAAAAAATTAAGCCTACTGATTCATACTTCCACACTGTGCTGAAGAAATGAAATACCAATTCCATTCACTTATGGATAGTCATAAAATACCCGCTTTTCCACACAGTCACTGTGAACAAGTACTAATCATTATCTTCTTTCTGGACATTTCACATTTCCATTTCAAGAGAGGTCAGTCAACCCTTGAAATAATTCTCAGTTATATATACAGCACCTTTTTAAATTTTGTGCCCAAGCACCGCAGAACAGTAATGTGTAAAATGTTCTCTTCCCTGCCCACTATTACTGTTATATTCCCTGCACTTTTCTAATTAATTTTTAAGAATAACTTTTAAAAAGACATTAACCCCTAAACTGCATATTTCCTTCAGGTTTTTGTCCTTTTTTGTGTGTGTGTCTTACAGAAGTATTATATTGATACAGTCTAGACTTCTTTTTTTTTGAGACAGTACTCCACCATGTTTCCCAAACTGGTCTTGAACTCCTGAGCTAAAAGATCTACCGACTCAGCCTCCCAAATGACTGAGACTGCAGATGTGTGCAACCACAGCCGGTTAGTCAAAACTATTAATTTTTCCCTTCCTTTCAGTTTCGAGTTTTGGTGTCATATTTAGAAAGTCTTTCTCAAAATCTAAAGCAGGAGGTTTGTCCAACAGTAGAACATAAATGACAAATATAAGTCAAATATCTCACTTAAATTTCCTACTAGTGAGCTATGTGTGGTGGCACATGCCTGTAATTTTAACTGCTTAGGATGCTGAGACAGGAAGATCCTAACTTTGAAGTCAGCCTGGGCAACTTAGAAAGACTCTGTTACAAAAATAAAATTTTTAGAAGGCTAGGGAATACACCTTTGTGGTACCACTTGCCTAGCATGTGAAAGCCCCTGGTTTGACTTTCACTACAGGAGAAAAAAAAAACCTAACAGCCACATTAAAAACAGGAAAACAGAAACAGGTGAAATTAATTATATGTTACTTAACCTAATATGCAAAAATACTATCATTTCAACATGTAATTAATTAAAAAAAGGGATAGTTTACATTATTTCATGACAAGTTTTTGAAATCTAGTATTTACTTATTACACATGCATATATAATAAGACATTTTATGTTCTTTTTGGTGTGTGCTGAGTTTTTGAAATCCACTATTTATTTTCCAGCACATCCAACTGGGACCAACCACATCTCAAGGGCTAAATAGCAAAATGTGGTCAGTGCCTATAATACTGGCCACTGTAGCTCTCTTACCTACATTTTCTCCAGTATTTCAATGTACAGAAATTCAGTATTTTCCTCCATCTGACACTTTGATACCAGGCACAAAGGAGACTGTATCTCACTTTCTTTTCCCTAGAGCTAGCTAATTATGCTTTCTACAATGAGTATCTATGCACAACTGAGTCTAAACCTAGATCCTCATATGTCTGTTTCTATATTAGCAACAAACTGTTTGATCAACTACAGCTTTATTATACTACTTTCATTTTTCTTATTTTTCATAATTTCCTTGGTTTTCCCATTTTATTCTTTCAAATGAAATTCAGAATTATGCTCCTAATAAAGAATTCCAATAAAATTCTGACAAAAATTATGGTCAATATACAAAATAATATGGGAAAAACAAACTTCCCCATAATACAAAGTCTTTCATTCAAAAGCATAAAAAAGGTATCTTTTTTGTATAATTTAGCAATTTCTATTTAATGGTCTTCAATCTTATGTATTTCTTTTAAAGAGAGTAGTTAGGCTGGCTGTGGTGGCGCACCCCTGTAATCCCAGCAGTTGGGAGGCTGAGGCAGGAGGATCGTTGTAAGTTCGAGACCACCCTGGGCTACAACGTGAGCTCAAAGCTGGCCTGAACTGCATAGAGAGACCCTGTCTCAAAAAAAAGAAAAAAAAAATTAAAGAGAGTAGTTAAAAAAGAAGACTAGCAGCATCCCAACATCACAGACATAAACCAAACAAAGCAAGAACATTAAAAGTGATACAGGGTTTCAAAACAAAATGATAGGAATTAACAGTGATTGTTATATTACATATTGTTATTTTCAACTACACTGCTCAGATTACCCGATGTAAGAATGGGAGATTGTTTAAACCATTAAAGAGAATAAAAAAAATTATTAAATAAAACATTAGAGATAATACAGAGTTTCACTAGACAAGATGGTAGGAATTCACCAATGGTTGTTCCATTACATATTGTTGTCTTCAAATCAGTTGCTCAGATCACCAGATAAAAGCATTCAAAATTGGTCAAAATACAAAAAATTTTAAGCATTAACTGATCCTTTCAATATACCACCAGACATCAGCAGTACAGTTATCCCAGCTATTCTTCTATATACATACAGGTATATATATATATTTTGCTTTCCTTCTTTTTTCATCTTTCCCTCATCCCAGTTATTCCTTCCTTTGAGCAATTTCTTTCCCTTTCATATAATTTATTGTATGTTTTGAGTTTTACTTACTCTTTCAGGTTCCTACACCAGGGAGAAAATATGATGTTCACATATGTGGGTCCGATTTATTTCACTTATGAGTATGGTCTTCAGTTGCATCTATTTACCTACCTTATGTATTTCTTGTATAAGACATTTGGAACATGGAAAACGGTTAATCTTTGGTGTAAAAAAAGGCATTTCACACACAAAAAGAAATCAATATTAGTGTGGCTTTACACAAGCCAAAATGTATTTATAATACACTAAAACTATCAAGAACAGGTTTATCAGTTTAATCTCCTAGTTATTTGCTTACTTGCAATGCCAAATGCATTTCCAATCCCCAAAGCTAAGATCTGTTTTATCTGGATTTTCATCTTCATTTGGCTTCTTTAAGTTACTATTAGACCAGAGTTGCAAACAGCTAGAACCAGTTAAAAGACGACTACCTGAAAAATAAAATATTTATTATTTGTTATTTAGGTATTTAACAGTGAGTTAAAATACAGGTTTAAGAATTTCACATAATACTATAAAAGTAATACTATTTATAAAAAGACTAACAGAAAGATATTTGGGGGAGGGAAAGAAGGGTGTACATTAATTTTGTTGCAATAGCTTGGAAAAGAAGGGAATAGATCTTATGATCTCTCAATTCAACAAACACTTAATGAGTATCTTCTTTGTGCCACATACCGCACTAAGCCCTGAGGATATACCGACAAGTAAAACACTGCCCTTTTTCATGAGTTCACATTTCAGTAGAGAGAAAGACATGAGAACATTACAACTCCCTGTAAAAGTGTTAAAAACATGATAAAAATGTATGCAAAGTCTTAGGGAAGAGAAATTAAGTGTGCTTGTAGTAGAAGTATCAAGGAAAGTCATGACATGCAACCTGTCCTTAGGGAATGCAGGAAGAGAAGGAAAGGAGAGGAGACAGGCTTCAGAAAGAGGACCTAACACAAAGGCAAGAGGGCATGCAACCTCCTTTGCTCAAAATTGCCTTTTAATCCAGGGTGGCTAAGGACTAAGGTAACATGGAAATGAGGTTGCAAAAATTGCCAGGATGAGATTAAGAAGCATTTCTGCAGGTTCATAAGAGTCTGGGCTTTGTTATAGGGAGTTACAAGTCAAAAGTTGGGCTGGGGATATAGCTCAGTGACATAAGCGCCTGCCTGGCAAGCACAAGGTCGTGAGTTCAATCCCCAGTACCACAAAAAAAAAATAAATAAATAAATAAACAAAAATAAAAATAGAAGTCAAAAGTTTGAAGGAAGAGGAAGAGGTTTATAATTGTATCTGTATTTCAGAACAAGGGGTATAAACAGAAAGTGCCATCAACAGATGGACTTGAAGAAGTCTGTGACCCTCCCTCCACTGAGCTAATATGCTCAAACTGTATTATAATATGTACACTTCTCTAGAGAGGTAATCTAAAACTTTCATCATATTTTCACCTTTTAAAGACTTTATTATACAAAGCTGATTAAAAATCTTTTTCAGAAAATAACTCTACAGACAAGATGAAAGAAAACATAAGAGCCAGGGAAACTTGATTAACTATAATACTTCATATAGTAAATCATGAGAATCTGAACATACATATATTTTGGTATTGGGAATCGAACTCAGGACCTTGCACTTGCCAGGTAGACACTAGAGCCGCTGAGCTATATCCCTGGCCCTAAATCAATATTAAAGAAATAAAGATTTAAAAGATATTTCAAAACTCAGAACTGTATAAATATAACTGTCTGTATAAATACATAAAATTATGACTTTAAACATGGTGGGGACAGGACTGTAAAGGAGCAGAGTGTTTTATTGAAGTTATGCTGACATCAAATTAGAGTGTTAAAACCAAAAGTAACCAAAAAGAAATAGCTATTGAATACAAAAAAAAGGAAATGAGAATTTTAATTATTTCATTACAAAAAAATTAAACACAAAAGAATGACAATATGGATAAACCTTGTGGATACTATAACTGAAATAAGTCAGTTGTAAGTACTCTATGTACTTATATGAGATACTGAAGGCAGTCAAAATCAGAGTGATAAAAGAGTAGATCAGTGGTTTCCAGGGGCTGGACAGATATGGGAATGGCGAGTTTACTCACAGTGTTTCACTTTCATAAGGGGAAAAGAATTATGGAGACAGTGATAATGGTTGCACAACATTATGAAAGCATTAAACACACTTGTAAAATGTACACCTAATGTGCTTAAGATGATAAATTTTGTATTATATATACTCTCTCACAATTTTTAACAAGTGAAATAACAAAAGGAATTGTAAAGCCTTGACCACTAAACAATGAGAAAACAAGGTTCAATGTCAGGTTTTGACTTTATGATTTGAGATTCAATAGAAGGTTATGTGATCGTGCATACAAAGAAGACAAAGAATAAGCAATTTCAACCAAAAAATAGCTGGCAAAAATAAATCTTCAGGGCTGGGGATTTAGCTCAGTGGCACAGCGCCTGTCTGGCAAGTGTGAGGTTGTGAGTTCGATTCCCAGTACCGGAAAACAAACAAACAAACTCTTCACCTTGGCAACTAAGAATGTGTATCTGTCTGGAATGGTTATTTTCTTATTTCAAAAAAACAGTAGGTCTGTGGGAATAGCATACATTTTAGATTAGAAATTCTGTGTCTAAATTATAAATATGCAATTAGCAATATGAATTGGATCTAGTAATTGGTGAACCTCAATAAAATTTGGGGTCTGTATGCAGTTGCTGTAAGGTTTAGCTATGTCTCTACCACAGGTCAGGCACTTAGCCACTCAATATGTAGTAGAATAAGCAAGTGAAAAGTTTCATAGAAAAAAAAAAATCACAGCAAGTCCTATTGAGACAGTTCATTTAAATATGTTTACCACTGAACTTACTAATAGTCAAAGTTTGCATATGTGTGTGTTTTGTGGTACTGGGAATTGAATTCAGGACCTTTGCCTTGAGCCCTTTTTGTGTTTTTTAAGATAGGGTCTCACTAAGTCACCAAGATGCTGAGAGTGGTCCCTCCCATGATGCTGGAATTATAAACACACATCACCACACTCAGCTAAAATAACCTGAAGATGAAATTAAGGATCATGTGAAAGATTACAAATTTAATGTAGAGCCATGTATAATATCACACACCTATAGTTCCAGTTATTAGAGAGGTTGTAGCAAGAAGACTGATCAAGCCCAGGAATTCAAAGCCAGCCTGGGCAACATAGTGAGGTTCTACTTCATTAAAAAAAAAAAAAAAAAATTAATACAACATAATCCCATGGAATGGAACAAAACAACATATGATAAGGTGTGGTATGGTAGATTGACTTAGAACATGAAAGAGAGATGTATGTATATTAAACTAAGAAAAAAAATTACAAGTCTAAAATAAAAACTTTGTGACTTAGGCAAGATGCAAAAGTGCATTTGGAGCACTATAAAGCACTCTAATTAGATTACTAACACAATCTGAAAAAAATGACATACATCCTAAGACCTGGCATGTTATATGCAGTAAGTATTTAATCAGAACTAAAACAGTTTCATGCTTGCTGTGCTTATAAATATTGTCAAAGTAATGTCATTCAGTTGTCACATGTCATTTCTATTGCTTACATGCATTTCACATCCATGTATTCCTTTTATCATTCACTAATTTGTATGATACTGAGTTCCTATTATAGTAAACACACTAAAACAAGTTATTTCTCATTCAAACAACTAAGAATGCAACACTATGCCTCTGATTCATCTGTCTTTGGCCCTGCTACCACACTGCTAGCAGACCAATCTTACAAAACAATATTCTTAGCACAACACTGCCTTCTTTTAAAACCTTTAATGGTTTGTAGTGCTAGGGTGTATGTCAGTGGTAGAGTATGTGTATGTGCCTAGCATGCACAAAACCCTGTATTCAATCCCCAGCACTTCAAAATTAAACTGACAAACAACAACTCAGTAATACTGCAGCTTTTAGACAAAAAAAAATTAGGGCCAGGATGTAGCTAGATGGTAGAAGATGTTCCTAATATACTTGAGGCTATGGGTTCAATTCTAGGACATGCAAATACACGCACACACACACACACACACACACACACACACACACAGTACTATCCAACTCTTCAGAATGATTTTTAAAGTATTCCATAATATGCTGTAGTTTTTCACCTCACCAGCATTCACATGGACTTAATCTGGCTTCAGAGAAGTACTAATATTAGACTATAACTTATGGTGTTTCTCTGTCTTTGCTCACTGTGGTAGAATGGTAAAAATGACTCCCCAAATTATGTTTGCCTCTGTCCATACCCCCACAATATGATTTTGAACCTTTCATCAAAAATTGGAGTTCATTTCTTCTATCTCTTGAACATGGGCTGGACTTGTGTGCCAGTTAATCATAATTGTTGATGTAACTGGGTTAAGAGGCTCCTAGCATCATGGTGGTACCACAGTCATCAGTGTATTAATCCACTGATGTTCATAGTTGAATGTGCAGCTAGGAGATGGGCCCAGTTGGAAGAGGATCACTGGGGTTAAGTTTTGGAAGGTATCTTGGCTGATAGTGCTCTTTCCCTGGGCACTGCTTCCAGCCACCATGAGATAAGAAGCATTCCTCTGCCCATCCCTTCCACTATGTTTCTGTTTTGGATCCAACTGACCATGGAATGAAACCTTTTAAAATATGAGCCAAATAAACTTCTCCTTTTAGTTGTGGATATCAGGTATTTTTCTCAACAGCAATGCTGACCAATAAAATGTGTAACTTGCTCTGACTACGTAATAAAATGTAACAGTAACATTCTAGGACTTCTAAACACATGATTTAGGAACTACTGCAGCTATGCTTTCAGTTTTGCAATCCAGCAACCACAACAAAATAAAATTTAGGCTATCCTACAGAGGACACACAAGAGAGACAGGTCACATGGAGAACAAAGGTGTTGCAATTGATAGCAAGGGCCAAGCCTACATGTGTGAACAAAGCATTTCTTAAAACCCCTAGCCATAGACAAGTCACTTCAGGTAATACCACAAGCAACAAAAGATAAACCATTCTCACTGAACCGTATAGTAACTCCTGACCCACGGAATCACAAACACTAAAATGATTGAAGTTTTTTGTTTTTCTTCTGGTACCAGGAATTGATTCATGACCTTGAGCTTGCCATGCAGGCGCTGTGCCGCTGAGCTAAATCCCCAACCCCTGAAGTTTTAAGTAACTAAATTTGGGGAATTTTAAAATGCAGAAATAGACAATTGAATACATACCCACAATCTCTCCTTAAAACTCACTTCTTTTTCCTACTACACATATACCACCCTCATTTTTAAAATCTATCTACTAGTCAGGTAAAAAGGCACTTCTTCAATGAAACCCTGATTCCCTGTAATTAATGCATCTTTCCAAAGAAAACAGGCATTCCTATTTTAGTAGTTATAATAGTCTATCATTTATTAGTTAATATTTTTCATTTCATTATAAACTCTAAAAAGGCACAATCTATATTAGCTTGTATTACCCACAATCTCACCCACAAATACATAAATAAAAACAACAAAAGGGATATTTCATCTCGGTTAATCTCCCTTATTTTCTTACCTGCAGGATCCCAAGTTATATTATGTGCTATTGAGTTCAGAAAAAACTGACCCGTTTTCTGCCACTGACTATCCAATTCCTAAAATTAGAAAAAACGTCATTTAGGCAGTTATGATTAGCATCTATTCTCTGTTAAATATGTATGTTCATATTTATTATTCATACAATAATACAGTTGATCATTTTTAAGGAAAACAAAATGTTCAATTCCGTTTTTAAAAAAAACAGGGACTACATGAAGGAGGAGACCACTGAGAGAACATCCATTGCTGGATGTCTAAAAATGTATTAACTCCAAAATAAATACTATTTTTATTACAGTTAAAGTCTAAAGTTTAACTTTAAAAGTTGTCAATGGCTCTGTTATTTGATATGTCCTTCTCTTAATGTTTTATCTCCATCTGAGATCATGATGGTATGAGGAGAAATTCAGAATAATTCAGAGTAACACTTCCTAAATATTATATAATGTAAAGTCCCCTGTTTATTAAAGCAGTATTTTTCAAGCATTTCTGTCCCCTTTTTTTGACATTCTGAGACAGAGTCTTGCTAGAAATGTAGACTGGCCTTGAACTCATGTTCCTTCTGCCTCAGCTTCCCAACTGGTGGAATTCCAGGTGTGTAGTACCAACACAGCAAGCTTTTTTTTCCCTAATACAATAAGAAATACATTTTGTACCAAGACTCAGGACACATAAACATATACACATAAATGAAACCTAGGGTTGGCCTAGGACACATGTGCTGTGCCCTGACATTTTTCTCTTCTATCTCATTTTCTTTTTAAATTCAAGTTTTGATCTTTAAACTGATTTAACTGCCCACTAACAGACTGAAATCCATAAATCATCTCTTAATGTAGTGGTTCTTAAACTACAACAAAGTGATACAACAAAGATGAAGCTAAGTTGTTTATTAAAAGTTCAGACTTCCAACACCTATGCCCAAAAATTCAGGTTCAAAGATCTAGTTTGTGGTAGAGGAACATGTACCTTAAACCAACACTCTAGATGATTGATATCCCAGGTGGCCTAGAGAGTATGCTTTTATGAAATGCTGACTCTCTGGGAGCAGATTTCAATCACAGTGAACATGAAAACCCTCTCTAGAACTAGACATATTATACAGCTGCCTCCCTCATACCTAGATATTTAGAAATTCCCAGGGAAGGAGCTGGACATATGTAACTACCCATAATTGTGAAGTGTACTTCTCACAGTAATGTTCTCATGAGACTATTTACCATCTCAAAAGAGTATTAGAATGCGTAGAGAAAAGAAAATAATATCATTTAATGAGGACCTAAATACCTATAAAACTATATTCTAGAATTAAAGATTCTACATCTTCCAAATCTATGCTTTTTCCAGTTGATCCAGTTTCAAGTATATTTGCTACCCTGTTGGCAATACTAATAAACTAGCTTCCTCTTGTAGAGTATTTTACATTATTATATTCATCAATAATAATTAGTAAAAGAGAAAAGGGACCAAAATTGAACATTTCTATTTTATACTTACTAGTATGGGCATTTAAATATAAATGTATTGTATGTACACTAATAAGGGCATTTTAACATAAAACAGTGAATTTTTAAGAATACCTTTTTTTATTCAACAAATAATATCCAATATTGAAGTATTTTATTCTGAATGGTTTGACCACTTTTTTTTTTTTTTTTTTGTCTTTTTGAGACAGGGTCTTGCTACGTAGTTCAGGCTGACTTTGAGCTCACTTTGTCAGCCCATGCTGGCCTCGAACTTGCAATGATCCTACCTCAGCCTCCCGAATGCTGGGATTACAGGTGTGCGCCACCACGCCCAGCAGTGGCTTGATCACTTTTAAAATTTGTTTTTAGTACTGCCACTTACTAATAAATATTGCTGTAAGCTTTTAATAATATATTCACTAGATAATGTACAAATACAAATAGAAATGAGAGATAACTATGACTACTCCTTTCATGAAATTTAAAGATGGACATCAACTAGCCCAGAGAAAATATTTTTCTTTAACACAAGGTAAGGAAGGACACCTAAGAATCAAGAGAGCTGGTTTTATGTTCAGTTCGGTGACTCAACAGACAAAATGAGTGATCGAGTCACTTACTTTCTTTGGGCTTCTGCTGTCTTACTCATTTAAAAAAGACAGGGAAGAAAGAAAAACTAAGAAGGAAAGGAAGAAATAAAATAACAGCTGTCTAAACTAGATTAGAGGTAATCTGTAAGATACTAATGAATTAAGTGGAAAACATGAAAATGATCCAAACAAATGCAGGTATTTCTACTATTAAAACATTTAACTCTCCACAATACATTTCTACAGTCTTTGATATCATGTTATCCTTACAATAATGCTACCAAGAATAAATAGGTCTTAGTCAATTTAAAGTTGGGCAAATAAAGCCACCAGGCTGACTTGTTTTGGATAAAATAACTACAATGAAGCAGAAACAGAAACCAGTGCTAAGATCTCTAACACACTGCTCTCTCAACTACACTGTGCTGATCCCTTTCATATGGCTTAAATCATAGTTTAACCTTGAATAGAAACAGGGAAAACACTATGATCCATCTATATTTAAGAGCATTAAAGCACACATGAAAGCTACTATGTAATCGTATTTAGAAACAACTGTTCAACCAGCCTTCACAACTATTTGTGAATACATCTACCTAATAAAGAAAATCGTTCATTGACCTGATAACAATCATGTTACATGATATAATGAAAGAAATTAAGTCCTAGACCTATATTAAGAAACATGTAACTTAAAAATATACATATGAAAAGGCAGAAAAACTATAAAAATAGACCTAAAAACCAACAATAATGGGCCACATATGGCTGTACAAGTTCGCTGCTAGCAATAAAGTCACTAACAATTTTAAGTTTTAACTCTTCAAATATGTAACATAAAATTTAAAATGTCAGAAGAAAAAAAAAGGTAAAGCATTTTAAGACAATTTACTGGCACAATTTAGTGTAATTCTAGTCCATGAAGTATTTAAATATTTTTAATATGAAAGTGGGATTTTACATATATCTTCATTTACATATATATATAATTTTTACTAGTCTATTTGATGGTCACTGTGGTTTTATATCCTTTGAATTCTAAAGACATTTAATTCCTCAAAGAAAAATTACAAATTTACTGACCAAATTTTTCTTTTGTTTCGGTAGATTAACTGGCTCAAAAACAGAGATAATGTTTCCATAGGATGCTGCAATCTTTTAAAAAGAAGAAAGAAAAAGAAAATTATTATGGGTGTACTAACTTACTTATATATCACAATTTAAAATACAACCACACACATAACTTCTTCTTCAATACTTGAGAATGTAAGACTTTTCTTTTGTGGTACTCGGATTAAATCCAGAGTCTCACATATGCTAGGCAAGTATCACCAAGCTGTATCCCCAGCCCACTGCATTTTATCTTGAGACCAGATCTTACTAAATTGCTCAGGTTTGCCTCAAATCTGTGATCCTCTTGCCCTAGCCCCCAGAGTAGCTGGATTATAGGCATATACCACTGTGCCTACCAAGAATGTCAAGTTCACATCTGGGTTACAACCACATTACTGCTACCTTCTATGTAACTAGCAAATTAATCTCTCTGTACCTTGATATCCCTACCAGAGTTTACAGTATGTATAACACAGTCTTCCAAACTAACAGTCCTATTTTGAGGACTAACATAACATTTGTAAAACATTTAGCATATACTAAATCATATATAACATGCACATAAATGTTGTTTTTCTCACAGAAGAAAAAACATATCAATGTAATCTTTGCCAAATATGGAATGTAACATGATTTAAAAATTAGTTTTTAGATTATCTATCATCAAAGATCACAATTTAATCAGTATTTACCTTTTTAAAAATAAAACTTAGATCTAGTCCTTTGGAGTACATTTTCAGCTTATCTTTTAGATGTATAATTTTTTAATTTTTTTGCAGGGTAATAGGGATTAAACTCAGGACCTTATTTACTACACATACTTACCACTAAGTTACACCCCTAATCATTTAAGTTTACTGTTAAATCAACGGAACATAACATTTTCTGGCTCTATTTTATAAGGTAGCTACTACCATAGCTGAAGTGAGTCCCATATAATGAATTTATCAAAATATCAGAAATTAGATAACATGAAAGACTCAGAATCAGAGATGGAAAAGAATATTTGACCTAATAAAGGAAGAGAATGAAATGAATAATTACATAAGGAAAAAAACTTTCAATAGGTTTTTGAGTTCTTGGTTCCTAGAATGTGGAAATCACCTGCCCTGTGTTATCTGGTAGGAAGTAGTTAGTCTGGGCCTTTAAATATGAGTTGTATTTCAAAAGGTAGTGAGTGTTTAATTTCAGAAACAGGGCACATTATGAACACAGGTGAAAAGATTCAAAAAGGTAACTAGCATTTAGGGGTGACAAGCACCAGCCTAGCAAGAAGAAAGTGTTCCCTGTAACAGAATAATGCACGTAAGACTAACACAGCAGGTTCAAGCCAGGATACAGAAGAATCCATGCCAACGTGAACAATTTGACTTTTCCAAAGTAATGGGAAGCAAAGAATGTTTTGAAGCTGAGAAATGACACAATAAATGCAGATAAACTTTCTCAGATAAATTAATTTCATGGTTGTACAAAGAAAAAATGTTTTCAAGATTCTCTATCCCCTCCCCCACTTCTCCATAATTGGGACTGAACCCAGAGCCTTCACCCTGAGTTATATTCCCAGCCTTTTATATTTTTTAATTTAGAGATAGGATCTCACTAAGTTGCTAAACTGGACAGGCTGGGCTTGAACTAACGACACTCCTGCCTCAGCCTCCCAGAGTGCTGGGATTACACACACGTGCCACCACAAACCGGCCTTCAGTGCAAACAGAAGTCTCTAGCCACCAGGACCTGAAACCTTTCTTCCTGATATTCTAAGGAACCCTTTGCTAACAGTGATATCTGCAAATAAAGAAATCTGTCCTTTATGAGAATGATCATAAAACAAAATGAAAAAAAAAAAATGACTTCTATATTCTAATGTAGTTACCTTGTCCTTGAAACAAAGCAAGTCTTTTTGTCCTTCAAGCAAACTATTTCAACAGGAAATCCATATTTTAGAGATTATTCTATAAAAATCATACTCAAAACAAATCTGCATATTACCACAGGATTACAAACCTTGCCTTGCTGCATTGAACAGTCTACACATCCCACTTGAATGTTTCCATGTTTAGCTCCTGGGATTATTTGTAATCTTTCAAAATCACTTCCCAGTATTACAATGTCACATCCAGATGCATAGGCCTAAATAAAATAAAATTAAATTAAAATGTAAGTGTTGAGAAAAATATTTATCAAATATAGCACTGGCATTAAACATGATGTCTTAAACAAACTTACTTTATATATTTTCTTTAAAAAAACTATTTAGAATTTTTTCCCTTTTTTTCCCCATTTATAGTACAACAGAAAATTCTATCAGTCCTATCTGGAAAATACACACAACTATATCCACATCTTTTACTTCCACTAAATGTTGTGACTGTTGTCTAAGGCACCATCATTTCTCTCCTATACTACCATTAATATTCCAACTACTTCCATTCTTGTCCCTAAATATTTTTTAAAAATCATTTTTAGTAGGAAAATGAATTTATATTAAACCTCTTGAACAGTTTTCAACTGTTTAAATCTCTTGAACAGTTTCCCACTGTACTTGGAATTAAATCCCAACTCATTACCACAGTAAGTAGCCCTGATTGTCCTACAAATCCATCTCAGGATATTCTTTCCTTCCCTCACCTGGTTTCTGTCCCTACAAAGCCCTTTCTTCTGTTTCTTTTTCCAACTCTAAGAGGTTTGTTTATCCTACTTTTATCTGACTGGTCTTTGTCTAGTGAGCTTCTTTACAACTTTCAGGTTTCAGTACCTGACCATCTCTCTCTTACCACTTTCTAGCACATTACTGTTTACTGTCTTCCTAGCACATATCATGATCTGTAAATATCTTGTTTACTATTCATTTCCATTTTTATAAATTAAATTCCAGGAAGAAATGGTTTATTTTGTTCTCTACTTTAGTCTCCCCCCCTCCCACATAATAAGTGAAGGGCTTGGAATATAACTAATACTTTATAATAGAATAAGTACTTAATTTCACAGAAACACTCACCATAATCAACCAAACAAAAAAGTACATAATTCAAGCCTTGTTGGCAAATATCTTATAATGAAGCTCTTTTAAATTTTACAACTAGTAGAACTCTTCCAACTATAATTCTCTTTGCATCCTTTTCGCTACTTCCTTCTCTGATCACTGGAGTTTCTTCTATTACCAGGTACACGGTTGTACCTCTAAGATTTACATATTGTAGGCAGACACAGTATATATTTTATCAATAGAGTATCTACAACAAACTATATTTTCCATCTAAGTTCTTAAAGGTTTAGTAATTTCCTACTTTCTCATTACTTTTGAACATGCATACATATTAATGTAAATAGGTTACATTTTATGTATATGTTATGTTTTAATAACTTTCTTGAGGCTGAAATGCAGTGGCCAACATCCACAGCTTTAAAGAGGAAAGGTTCATTTTGGCTCAGTGGTTTACTCCACAGAAAGCAGGCTCCAAGGTAGAAATAAGAGCCAGAGGTGCACAGTGGAGGAAAAGGTGCTCAATTCAATGTCAGCCAGGAACCAGACAGCAAGGACAGAGGACAGACACAAGAATGTACAGACACATTTCTGGGTCATACCCCAGTGACCCACCTCTAAAACCAGGCACCACTATCTAGTAACACATTCAGCAACTTAACTCATCCATGGAAGAATCAGTACCCCATAATAAAATCACGTTCCACACACATGAGAATTTTGAGGGACATTCTAGATCTAAATCATAACATTCTACCCATGGTCCCTAAAAGATTCATGTCCATCTCATTATACAAAATGCATTTAGTCCACCTCTAAGAATGATCAAACAGTTCTAGCACTGCTGAAAAGTCCAAATCCAAACTCTCCTCCAGTACTCAAGACAAACCCTTCACGGTGAGAGCCTATAAAAAATTAAAAAGAAAGTTAAATATGGTGGTACCTCAGTTCACAAACTTAATTCTTTCCATGATTCTGGCTCCAACTGAATTGCATGCATACTATGCAACCAGAATCATGGAACGAATTCTATGACCAGAACCATGGAAAGAATTAAGTTCATGAACCAAGATACCACTGTACTTCCAACATACAATGGCACATTCCTATTATAAAGCAGAAGAACTAGAATAGAAAGGAATGAGGCCAAAACAACACCAAAAGCCCACAGGGGAAACATTAAACCCTGGAGCTCTGTGTTAGGCACTGTTGTAGTCAGGGTTTGCAAGGGAATACAGGACACATAACTTAAAGGATTATTTTCTAAGAGTCACCCAAAAAGTCAAATGTAGAAGAGCACAAGAGATCTGTCCATGCACTAGAGACCCAAAGAATCAAGCTAAGGGCCTGGATCCCACAGCAATGTTCTGCATGAGTCCAGTGGAAGACCTAGAGCCCATGGCAATGTCCTCCACAAGCTGGAGGCCTACAGCCCACAATAATATCTCATGCAAGTCTGTATCAAGAATCTGCACTGGGAAAGCCCAAAGGTCAGTGGTGGAAGCCAGAAAGTCTGCACCAGCGGGATGAGGGATGTGCACCAGAGCCAAGAAGTGATGCTCAAGGACAGAGCTCCCCCAATAATGAGAACAGCTGAGTTCATATCAGGAAAACCAGTGTGACAAGCTTCTCCAGGAGAATAAACCATATTCCCCTCCACTTTTCTCCTTTTATGCTGCTGGCAACAATACTCAGGTGGGCCGTCTACACCCTGGACCATGCTGATTACAAGATAACCATTAGTTAATACACCAAAAGCACCAAGAGAAAGTTGCGGTTTTGTGAGCTCCAAAGGACTTGGGCAACCTGCCCATATGGCTTTGACAAGAAGTACAGCCCTCATGGTCTCTCTTAGGATGGGCCCACTCATTGCCAGCAGCTTTCATCATCAGATGATCTATATTTCTCACATTTACAACTTCCTGAGGTCTCTATTGCATTTTCAGCTTTACTCTCACAGCTTCACACACTGGCCTCTCAACGGCTCTTTGCCTGGCTTCCTAGGCCTTCCTTTGAAATATGAGTGGAAGTCTCTCTAACCCCACAACTTCCACATTCTGCAAGTCTGTTAAACCAGTATTACGTGGATCAGGCCAAGGCCTCCTCCAACCCTGAGCAGTAGCTTCTCAAAGGAAAGTTATAGGTCTGCACTCTTGAGCCTGTAAAGGGTCTTGCTGATTACTGAGATGTCTTCAGGCCACCTTTCATACTGTGCTGATGCAAAGTATTTGAGTTCTTTCTAATATTAATCTTTTCAGCAACTATGCTCTCAATGGCTCCAACTTTGCAAGCACTTTCTGATGAAAATGCAAATTTTTCATATTTACTCTCTGTTTTTGATTTTCACTGTAGATCTGGCTAAATGCTGCCAGCAATATCTATGCCACACCATGAATGTTGTCCTCCCTTGAAATTTCCTCCACCAGATTAATCAGTTCACCATCCTTAATCTCAGTTTCTCACAAAATCTCAGGACACGGCAAAATGAGGCCAAATTTCCTACCAGAGCATAACATACAGGATCTCCAGTCCAACTGCCAATGGAGTCCTTGTTTCCAACTGAAACTTCTCGAACTTGGCCTTTACAGTCTGTATTTCTACAATACTCTGATCTTCTGAGATCTGACCTCATCCATCAAGTTTGGCTCACAGGATTCTAGGGTTTCTTCACCTGGTATCTCCAAACCTCTCAAAATTCTTCCCATAAACTACTTCCATATATTATAAAACATATGGTCAAGTATAATCACAGCAAGGATCCCACTCTTGTTATCAAAATCTGTCTTACTGGTCAGGTGCAGTGGTGCACATTTGTAATCCCAGCACTGGGAAGGCTGAGGCAGGACGATTGCCTTGCCTGCCTGGGCTACACAGTAAGTTCAAACCCAGCCTAAACTACATAGCAAAACCCTGTCTCAAAAACAACAACAAAAAAATCTGTCTTAGGCACTTTCCTGTCACTGGAACACAACACCCAACATCCATAACTTAAAGGAGGAAAAGGTCATGTGGGATCACAGTTTCAGTCTACAGTCAGCCAGGTCAAAGGGAGAAATAGGATGGCAGAGGGGATGACAGAGGAAAAGATGTTCAACCTATGGCAGCCAGGAAGCAGAGAGACAGGCAAAGAGCAGGGACAAGAATACCAGGCTTCACCTCCTAACGGGACATTTAGCTACCGAACTTTCACTGAATTAACCTACTGATGAGTACAGCCCCACCCCATAATACAATCACCTTCCATGCACAGGAAAATTTTAAGGAACATTCCAGATCTAATCACCTATCTCATCAATTCTTACTGAAGCCAAAATGGCTCTGTATAAGCCATCAGAAATATTAGAAAAGGGACATGAGATAACATTCTAGTAAATACTCATATTATAGCCAAGAAAAGCAAAGCCCCAAAAAATTGGTAACATCTTAGTGGGAGAGAGAGCTCGAGAACGCTGTTTTGTGGATTCTTGGTTATTTTCATGCCTTTCCTTTCTACAGAAACATGCTCATCTGGAATCATGTCTAAAATCTGGTACTGTTCCACTAGTATTGCACAGTGGAAAAAACTGGCTCAGTCAACAAACAAAAAAATCACATTAATGGTCTGCTCTCATATATAGGTATCCACAATAGGCTCACGATATAAGGGTCAATTTGGACATGACTCTCCCAGTACCCAACCTATGTGTCACCAGAGGCATTGTTCTCAGCTCAGCACCGGTGCCCTCAGCAAACACAGGATGTCTTGAAGGAGATAAGATGGAACAGGGACTCTTGCAAGCACCTGGACATGTAAAGCCCCCTATTCACACCGTACACCTTTCATGCTTCCCCACTGAAGCATGAAACACCGAGAGAATTTTGACCACTGATGTTTACTAAGATTTTCCCACCTAATGTCTCTTGCCTTCTCTCAAGCCCTATAAAGAGCCTGCTTCTGTTTGCTCCCTACAAACAGCCTTTTTATCCTGTCTGCCCGTACCCAGGCACCACAGATTGCATCATGTTGCCTTTACACAAGCCCAGGGGTCTCAGCTGCTCTCTGCCTTATCCTGTTCCTGACACATGAGGCTTGACAAAAGTCCCTGAACAAGAATAAATTCTGAAAATAAGTAACTAGAAATTGATTTTCCTCTCAACATTAA